TTCCAACGAGGTATAACATTCCACATTCACAATTTTAGTTCTCTTTCTATGCAAAATAAGTTATTTTTAGTAGAAAATTCCTACATCCAAAAACCGTGTGTAACTTTATCACTTTAAATATTTTCCATTTATCAGACTCCTGATAAACAGCGTTTAAAAAGTCATTCTAAATAATTAATTAATTAATACCTTGTGTGTTTTCAATATCAATGACATATTCTATTCAAACGTTTACTTTACATTGTAATTTATACGAAATATTTTCCTGCCTGCCTGACTATGTTTATTTTTTAAATATTTCCGAAATGTTGCTCGAATTATGCAGTTCATTATTCATCCCAGGACCACTCCTCTCGCAATCCACAGGATGAAAGGCCGCAGGAGCCGCAGGACCAGCTGTCGTTGTCAACGTCAAGCCCCAAAAATGCAGACCTGAAAAATGCCAACTAAAATGCTCATCTATTTTCAGGTGTGTGTTTGTGTGTGCGAGTAATGTAAACCAAATGGCTTTACACTCGGAAAAAATTTCCCTTTTTTTTCAAGAGGGGAAATATAAACATTCCAGTCCTAACTTGGGTTTCTATAATATATATAACAAGAAAGGAAGCTAGCTTCGGCAAGCCGAAGCTTATATACCCTTGCAGTCATTAAATATGTCAAGCAAAATACATAAAGTCTAACAACATCGAATCTATGACGATTTTTCCATTACTTACCATATTGTTCATATGACAGCTATATGATATAGTCGTCCGATTTTGATAAAATTTAATATGTAACTCAAGACTCATTAGAAAACTCTATATTCCAAAAATCATCTGATGAAAAACAACGAGGTTATAATTTTATTTCCGTTATTTCTATATAGATTTTTCGATCTTTCCTATGGCAGCTATATGATATAGTACTCCGATTTTTATGAAATTTTTTTCTCGATTTAAGAGTATTTCAAAAACTTGGTGTTCCAAAAATCATGCTCGTGGCATTAAAAACAACGACATTATAATTTTTTTTCCATTATTTATATATATATTTTTTGATCTCTCCTATGGCAGCTATATGATAGAGTTATCCGATTTTGATAAAATTTAATACGAAATTCAATAGCCGTTAGAAAACGCCATCTGGAAGAAATCAAGTCGAACTGATCAAAAACAACGGAGTAAGAATTTTTTATTTCATTCTCTTGTATGGGAGCTATCCGATATAGTCGGCCGATCCGGCTCGTTCCGACCTATATACTGCGTGCAACAACTACACAACTTTTGGGAAAGTTTCAGCGAGATAGCTTTAAAACTGAGAGACTAGTTTACATAGAAACCGACAGGAGGACAGACGGACAGACAGACAGACGGACAGACGGACAGACGGACAGACGGACAGACGTACAGACGGATTTGGATTCTGATCGTGATGCTGATCAAGAATATATATACTTTATGGGGTCTGAGGTGTCTCCTTCACTGCGTTGCAAACTTCTGACTGAAATTATAATACCCTTTTGCTCTGCAAGGGTATAAAAATAATTGGTATAAATACAAGAAGAGAACTCGCTTCTAAAAAGTTCTTATGGACATTCTTTGTTTTACTTCATAGTATTTTTTTTGAGTGTTTCTAAGAGAATTCTGCACCAAAATGGGCAGCGCGTTGTTCGAGGAGGCAGCAATGCAAATAGAGCTCGTAATACTGCAATTTAAAATGTAAATGCGAACAAGGCCAAGAAGACCGATGATGGCCGGCATATGAATATGTGTCTGTGTGTCTGTGTATTTGTGTATCTGTGTATCTTTGTATCTGTGTATCTGTGTGAGGGGCATAATCAAGGCGGAGGAGGCGGGGATGGGGACATGGCCAGATGAATAATTGAACTTTCACTTCCGCTTGTCAGCCTGATTGCCTTCGGGGAGGGGAGGGGTCGCACTAATATATATGTTATGCTCCGTTTTTTCTTGTTTCTTCTTTCCTTTCTCCTTTGTTTGATTTAGCAAATGGTCGACATAAACGCAACAAAGTTAGCTTTGTTTTTGCCCCTTCGGTAAGGGGCAAGCTACCACAACTTTTTCTCGGTTGCGGCTGACCGCTGTCAATTTATCTTTGCATATTTCCAGGCGTCCAATTAGTTTCGATTCGCTGCCGCTCGATTCTTTTCCCGTTCGAATTCGATTTGTTCGATTGGTTCGATTGGATCCTCGGGTGACAGCGTTTCTGCCTGATTTCACTTCCCTGAACCGCCTTTGTCTCGGCGCTTTTAGCACTCAATTAAATCGCTTTTCGAGGGACACATTTATGAGAAGGGCTCCCCCGGCTGTCCTGTCCTGTTTGTAATTCCCCCAGTGATAAATGACTTGTCCTCGATTGGGTCACTCAATTAGAACGCTCTGCGTGCGCTTAAGTGGCATCTTCGGGATTAAGTCCGAATCGATTAGCGAAGGGATGGAGGACTCAAGAACCCTCTAAGAGTTCGCTGTCCTTTGCATAAATTAAAAATTAATTAAGAGCCGAGAAAAGCGCCTAAACCGCTCTTCGAAAAGTAATTAAAGCTGACCATCAATCTGGGAGCCGCAGAAGGCCCGAAACCCCAAAAACCGAAACCAAATCCAAGACCAAAGCGTATCCAAACAAACGCAGAAGGACTCCAAATTAATTTTTTCGACTTTGTGTGGGCCGAGAGCAAACATCGACGCTTGTGTCTTGGCCCAAGTCGCTCAACTGTAAATAAAAAGAGGCGAATTCAAATAAGCTGGGAAAAGTAAAAATAAATAACTAACAAGCCAAAGTTTCACCCAAATCCCAGACCTGACTGCACTGCCACAATGGACCGTTGCCGCCCGAAATAAATCACATCCATTCACAATGCGAGTGGAGCGTGGCGTGTCCTGGCCAGGACTCATCTCCCATCCACCCACCCAACCACAACCTATACAGCCAATTTCGGGTTTCAGATCTCAGATTTCAGACAGTGGACGCTGGCTGGCTGAAATATTGTCGAATCAAAAATATCCCACAGATTTCATTTGATGTGCGCATTGATGGCACTGATTGATTTAAGCTTCAATTGAATTCGGAGCTGTTTTGCAAGGATATTATTCGGCTAAGAGGTCCCCCTGGGCTTTGCCCATTAGAGCCGCCTGCTCGGCATTTGCATCCACTGTATGCTCCGCTAACTTTGAAAGGTCAAATGAAGGAAGGAGATTTTGGAGGCACGAGAAAATGCTGAGCACGAGAAAACAGCCAAGATGCTGGGTGGCTGCTCGCCCAAAATATATATATTAAAAAATAACCGTTGATACACACCTGCTGTGAGTGATGTATTGTGCGCCGCCAGGTCCTCGAGCTTCCAGCCAGACAAAGGACAAAGGACGAGTCCCGGGAATCCGACTTGCGCCCGCCGTATTGTTGTGCCGCATTGTCAGTGCGTTTGACAAAAGCACTTCGCTCGCTGAGTTGCTGGGTTGGTTGGTGGGTTGGTGGGTAGGTTGGTGGGTTGGAAAAGCGAGTGGGGAAAAGTGAGTGGGGAAAAGTGCTCGGGAAACGCGACCTACGGGCCCTTCAATTTGTTGTTCTTTATTGATTTAAAGTTCACTCCAGTCGCGGTCGCTTTGTTGGCGAGTGTCGAGCGCACACAAAACTCATTTCCCCGAAGGTGTGCCAGTTGAAAGGACTCCAAGAGCCCACAAACAACACGCAAATAAACACAATTCCTATTTGCTGGCCGGAGTTTGCTTAGTTTGCTCGACATGGGAATTACACGTTCGACTCCCAAATGTTTGCCTACTCTCCAGGAGGAGCATGGAACATGGAGAACATGGAGCATGGCAGCTGGCCCCCATTTAAATGGGAAAGTGTAGCCGGAGGCAGTGGCACTCGAGTGGGAGGAGGAGTGGGATGGCATCGATTACCAGGCAAGCAAATTGCAAAATAAATGTATATAATTTGGAAATTGACATTTGCTAATGATAAGCCTCTGTCGCCCGCTTATGCCTAAGCTGAAATATGGCCAGAACCGAAGAACCCAAGAGCTGAGGAGCCAAAGAGACAGGGAGCAGCTGGCTGCCAACGGGATGAGATGGAATTTAGGCGGCAGCTGCTGCTCCTCCGCAGGAAGGAAGCTTAATTCTGCAGGCCCCCCAACGGAAACTCCTCCCACGGCTCAGAAATTGAAGCTGTTTATGGTAAATTAAACCAATTGAGTGGGCTTACGTTTCGGCACTACAATCCCGCCCACACCAGTGCCACGCCCCCAAGTGTTTGCCGGCCCGGTTTCAATTTCATTGTCTGCCCGAAGCCTGCGGCTGAGGCAATTTATTTAGCCATACAATGCCATCAAAGCCACAAGGTGTTTATGGGCTTAACTCCGGCGCTGATTCTGCCTATTCTTCCGCCTCCGAGATTTGCATGTTCCACCATTTGGATTAGGGTTTGGCTGGGGTTCGAGTTTGGGTTTGGGTTTGCAAGAGGGGAAGGCGGATAGAAGACAAATGGCCAGCACGTTGCGGTTCATTTGGCTGTCGCAACAAATGTCTATTTGATGCTAATCTAAATGTGTATCGAGTCCCGAACGCGTCTGCGGAATCCCAAGCAGGAGTCAAGAGATGGATTCACGGTTGGCGGAACTTGAGATACTCTCTACTCTAGAGCCTAATCGGTCATATTTCATCTGGCACGTAGCCAGGATACGGAAATATTTACTTTCTTTATCTAAAAATTAAAGCATTTTTGGAGTGCTTTGAATTTAAAACGTGTGTCAACAAAGTCTTCCGTAACAATATCAACAAAACCTTCTCTTATATTTTATAAATATAAAAAATTATTTAGGTACTTTTTCAGCTTTAAATGTCAACTGCATATTTTTTCCTTTCTCCATTAAAGTTATCTACAAATAGAATTGTAAACCAGCACTTTCTTTGCGCCAACAAAGTGGCCCACAAACTGTTGTTGCTTCTCCGAGAGCAAGCTAATAAATGTGGCAGGAAATAAATGGAGTTTCTTTTCAATTGCAGGCAACTTGGCAACCGATTGGCAATAATAGTGGTCATCAGAAGGAGTCCAACGAAATAGCAAACGTCCTGCAGCATGTCCTTGCCGTCGAGAGTGCTTTCTTCTGTGTGGCTCTAGATCAACATTTGGCTCTGGCAACTAAGAGGCTTTAGGCAAACAACACTTGTGCTCCCAACATGACGCTCCTGCAGAGACTGCAGGCCATGTCGGCCACCACAACCAGGACGATGCTCGAGGGCGGGCTCAGCATCGCCGGCGGGACGAGGCAGCCGCCCGCAGGACAGCTTCCCGTGCTGGAGGAGTCCGCCTCGCACGCTCGCTACCTGAAGTTCATTGCCGACGGACTCATCGACGAGGGATTGGGCAGCGCGGTGGGCAGCGGGAGCAGCATCGCCGTCTCCGTGGAGGACGTGATGGCTGGACAGGCGCAGGACATCCCGGCGGACGCGGAAGGAGCCACCGACGACGCCGACGGCAGCAGCCACCTGGCGTTAGTCTTCGTCAAGTGTTTCATTATTGGTTTCATCATCCTGGCCGCCATCCTGGGCAACATGCTGGTGATTGTGTCCGTCATGCGCCACCGGAAATTGCGGTGAGTCCTGTTCGTTTTTCCTTTATAACGGGAAATGTTTGCTCATGTGTCTGCGTTGACTTTGCCTCCACTAATTTGTCACCTTGAACCAAGTGTTACTTTTCCACCAGCTAATGGTTTCAATATATCTGTCCGGCGGGCTTCTATTGTTCTATATCTGATTATAAGTATTATCCACTTTTTTGATTAGTCACAAAAGCATAAATATATTTAGAAGTCCTAAAAAGGTCCACTTTGCCAAAGAGAAGCTCTTGGAAAAAGAGCTGAAAAACCTTTTTGTACAACATTCTTTCGCTTTTATGCTTACCATTGTTTTGGGGCAATTGCCCGAGTTGTTGCCTGCCACATTGTCCACGAAGGACATGACTTTGCCTCGTAATCCCCCCTCCTGTTTTGTTTTTTTCTTGCACCTTCCTGACGAGCGATTTTGCGCGATTTGACCGCGCTCGGCTTAACGAGTGACTGCCTCGCTTTTGCGGCCATTAATTTGTCATCATTTATCATATTTTCCATCATTTTCGCGTGTCAAGCGCACAGAACTCATCTTGTCCGCCCTCCGCCCACTCGCCTCTGTCTCTAGAGGGGCGTGGCAGGTGGATTTCGCAGTCAGCAGTCAGCAGTGGGCAAACGAAATGCTAGAAACGTGCGTAATTACATTAGAAATGTTAATAAGGGGCGAGCATAAAAATATTGTTGCCTACTTACGGGGCGAAGTTGCCATTTGCTTTATGTGCGGCCATATAATTTGTCAAATTTATGAATTGAGCGCCACCTCTACTGGAGAGATATACTCATTCAAACCAGGTATACGAACGTGTTCCAGCAACGAATTCGGAGCCCCGGCTCTGCTGGCATTTAAACAAGCCGGCATAAAACACTCGGAGCGAGGCGACAATGGTGTAACCTAACCCCGGGACATTCAATGCCAAGGCGCAGACTATTAAGGCGGCCCCGAGAAAATGCTTCCACTGTCATTGCCGTATTCCTTTCGCCTTGGCAAAGCACACCTGACATTTGTGGGCAAAACATAGGATGAGGATGAGGATGAGATGAGGCTGGGGCTCATTTAGCCTGCCAGGGAGAGGCAATTTGGGACCTGACCCTGACTGCGTCTATGCCATGTTGCCGCTTTTATCTCGACTGGCTGTGCCAGCATCTTTTCATTTTCATTTTCGTTATTGTTGTGCTCATTGTCATGTGCGTTTTCCGCACCATTTTCACCTTTTCCGCCTCGCTAGGCAGTTTAAATCATCACGGCAAATTAGACTTAATTACGAGACAACATGTATTCCCACTTAGGCCCTGTGTTTCTGGGAGAGAGACTCGCATTTTTGTAACCCGTGTCTTCTGGGAAAGCCATCTCCCCGTCAGTTGGAGCAACTTTTCCGATTAGCCACTTAGGTTGAATAATTCACGGCGCACAAAATGCCAGCGAATCGATAAATTAGGTGACAAATTAAAGCCGAGCCGAAGATCAAATGGAGCCATCGCCGGACAAGCTCAAGCACTTTCCCCATTAACTTGAGCTCTCCCGAAAGTGCCAACTCATAATTGTAATCAAACTCGACACCCGCCTGCAAACCTCCTTTGCCCACTGCAAAATCGGCTTTTGGCCAACGCCTGAAACACATTTTCGTGCCGCCTTTGATGCGGGTTCTTTGCCTTTGTACTGGCGTTGCTTTAAGCCTGCCCAAAATGTCGACCTTTCATGGTGTCTGCGGTTGTCTCAGTTTGGGGCCGTAATTAGGTTTGCGGGCGGTGGTTCAATGTCCTGGTGAAATACGACTACGAAATGGGGGCAAATGTTAACGAGTTTAATAGATAAAGGCTGAAAACAACGGAAATTAGGACAGAAATCTTGCAATCAAGTGACGAATATGAAACACCCTTTCAGACGAAAAACTTTTCCTTTGAAAATATAATGGCCTTCACAAACGTGTAAACAACATAGCGTACACAATCCATAATTGATGCAGTTTTAGTTCGCAGCCAAAGTTATTCCATTCGAAAGTTTATCCTTCGCATTAAACAGTTTAGTGTGAAAGCAAAACTTTCCTTTCCTTTTGTTTGCGAAGTTGCGGTGCGAGTCAAGTTCCGCAGACATTCCGGGCTTAAAGTTGTATTCCCACCAGCATTTCGGTTGCGGTCGGGCCGTCGGAATGCGGTTTGTGTCCGCCTGATTGTTTTGGAATCACTTCTGACGGCCGATAAGCGCATTTGCCTTTCCACATTGCGTATACGCCGCGTGCACCTAATTGACTTAGTGTTTTGCGGTGCCACGCAATGCTGATGATCGCTGGTGGAAGCCGACGGTTGCGGCGGCGTTAAGCTAATTATTAATTAACCCATTAAACAATGAAATCCACTCGGAGTGGCAGCCGCATTAAACGGCGGTCACACGCGGCGTATGCGCAATGTGCGCTCAAAACTTTTCAGCTCAACTTTGAAAGGATGACTGAAGGCGATTAGCACTGTGGCTGCCAGCGACTTGAGAGCTTAATGCGAAAATTTAATTTGAGAACTCGCAGTCTCGATTTCCCCGCCACTCAGACTCCTTGCTGGCTGCCACAAAGTGGCTTCCGCCTTCGCTTCCTTATTCCTTATTCTCGATTCCACTTCCACTTACGCCTTACTTACTCCTCTTGCAGCATCATTACCAACTACTTTGTGGTCTCGCTGGCCGTCGCCGACATGCTGGTCGCCCTCTGCGCGATGACATTCAATGCCTCCGTGATGATCTCCGGCAAGTGGATGTTCGGCTCCGTGATGTGCGACATGTGGAACAGCTTCGACGTCTACTTCTCCACCGCGAGCATCATGCACCTCTGCTGCATCTCCGTCGACAGGTGAGTAGCATTGCGGCCTGCTTTGACATCGCAAATTAATTTTTTGACGGGGGTTGCTTGTGAGTTGGAGTGACATAACAAGCTTTCTGCGAAATGGTTTTAATATGCTGTTTACTAACTACATTAGGATGGTTGTTTATTGTGATGAGAAACCACAAAGATGTCTACATGATTTGCCATAATTTATTACCCATTTAAAGCATAATAGAAACACTGATATCAATACATAAATTCTTCCCTTCTTGAATTCACTTTGTTGTTATGTAACTCTATCTTTTTTCCATTTATTTTCCAATTTAATATGTGATACCTTCATAACTATCTTATTAAACCTATCCCGCAGATACTACGCCATCGTCCAGCCGCTGGACTACCCACTGATCATGACGCAGCGGCGCGTGTTCATCATGCTCCTGATGGTCTGGCTCTCGCCGGCCCTCCTCTCCTTCCTGCCCATCTGCTCGGGCTGGTACACAACGAGCGAGAACTACAAGTATCTCAAGTCGAATCCGCATGTGAGTATCGCCTGATGCACTTAGTCTTACAATTAAATGTGGTATTTATGTGGGAAAAGCTATTACGTTCCCACACCAGATTTGTTTGGGCCTTTGCTCCGGCGCGTGCATTATTTATTCAATTTTCTTGCACATCAAACTAATAGAAAATTCTAATTTGTCTGAAACGGTATCGACTTTGCATGCATTTTGCATGGCATCGGGTATCGGGTATCGAGTATGGGGAATGGGGTATCCAGGCACGTGGGCTTCTGTGCGGCAGACAGCCTTTGACTTTTCCCCCGACCCGACTGAACGGAAATTGATTTATGTTTGTGTGGCTGCTGGCTGGCTGGCTGCTTGGCTGGAGAAGCAGTTTTACGCCTTTCAGACTGCCAGCCGACAGGTAGCATATTTATTACTCCGTTTTATTGGTTTCCCCTGGAAATACCTGGCAGGCTGCTAGGCAGCCACCGGATCCTCACTGGTATCCATTTCTGGCCCGTCAGCAGCAGCTGCTTCCCAATTCCACCCACCCCGCCCCTCTGCGGTTATCATTGCGCAATAAAACGCTGATGTAGAAATAAACGTGGGTGATTCCGTTTCGGTTCTAGCAGCACAGGCTGCGCATAATTTTTGGCGTTTCTACCTGCCTTCGGAGGAGGAGGAGAAGTCCTTTGCATACATTAGCAGTCGCGTGGGCGGGCTTTAATTAGTTCAACTTGTTTATGCTAATAACTGTCAGCGAAGAAGGCCGTAAATCTGATTAGAAGTCTGCGGGTGGCCTTTGTCGAGCCAGCGCGCTAATGCACGCAGTAATTGAGTTTTTATTGCCGCACTTGGCAGTGCAGTAATCGCATTGCTCATACGCAACGTTGCCCGCCAGCAGCGCTTGCCAATTGCCGGCATTACGCTCCATTAGACCCGCCACTGCATTGGTCAGTGTCCGTTTTGATTTATCGACAGTCTCTAATTGAGTATACGAGTATACGAACACTCGCATTCCGTTCCAGATCTGCGAGTTCAAAGTGAACAAGGCCTACGCCATCGTGAGCTCCTCGATGAGCTTCTGGATCCCGGGCATCGTGATGCTCTCGATGTACTACCGCATTTACCAGGAGGCCGACCGGCAGGAGCGACTCGTCTACAGGTAACCATCCATTCGGCCGGCCGCCAATTAGCGCTAATTACTTGTGTGTCCGCAGATCCAAGGTGGCCGCCCTGCTGCTCGAGAAGCATCTGCAGATTAGCCAAATTCCCAAGCCGCGCCCCAGCATCCAGGTGGAGCAGTCGACCATCTCGACGATGCGGCGGGAGCGGAAGGCCGCCCGCACCCTGGGCATCATCATGAGCGCCTTCCTCATCTGCTGGCTGCCGTTCTTCCTCTGGTGCGTATCAAGTAATGGCCAAATTAGGCGGAAGTCTCGCTAATAAACTGTGGGCGTGGTGCTGCCAAGCACTTAATTAACGCGGGCTTCGAGCTCATTTTGAAGCTGGCAGATGAGGCCAAACGTGTCTACTGATTATTGGGGAATTTACACAAGCCAGCTGCCTTTCTTTATAAAGTTTAAATTCTGAAGAGAACTTAAATCAATCGGAACAAGTAGTTTACATATTTGAATTTATTATTTTTCAATGTTTCGGTATTGCCCGGAATTGCCCATAAATCTTTCACAGGCTTCACAGGCTACTTTGAAATTCAAACTAACCCTTCCGCTTCCCTAATTGATTGGCAGGTACATCGTGTCCTCGCTGTGCGATAGCTGCATCACTCCGCGCCTCCTCGTCGGCATCCTGTTCTGGATCGGCTACTTCAACTCGGCCCTGAACCCCATTATTTATGCGTACTTCAACCGCGACTTCAGGGCCGCCTTCAAGAAGACCCTCAAGGTGAGTTGCGGCTGGCCGAGCGGGCGGCGAGCATTTGCATTTGCTTTCGACTTCGACATCTTGATGGGACTTTTATTCTATTCAACTCGCTTGTTCGCGCAACCGAAACCGAACTCTCTGCACCATTTAGACTTAGTACAGGGCCGCGGCACCTGCTGCAGTCGCAAAGGACAGGGCCAACAAATGCACTCAAGGGGCGGCGGCCACAACAGCCACTTCGGCGGCAACCGGCAACACGGCCGCGGCAGCAGATTCGTCCAACCGAAGAGGCTCACGTTTAGCAATTATTTTGGTAGCTATTGGAGTGGTGGCAGTGCAGAGAAAAAATCATCTTCAAAATTATCCATTTCATTAGAAATAATAGCATACTGAAACGAAATAATACTAATTTATTATATATAGATATATTTCTTTGAAAGAATGAGACTTAAATTAATATTGAAAATCAAAGTCAGAGATGTTTTTCCTCTGCGCTGCTCTGTGCTCGGCGGAAGGCGTAGAAAGCGTAGCGTTCGTTCATTTTAGCTGATTGAAATGCTTCTTCATCTGGTTGCTAAGCAAGAAAAATAGCTTCTCCTCTGCCTGAAGAACTGGTAGCTCTGCACGACTCTTCGCTCTTCTGCTCTTCAGCTCTTCTGCTCCTCTGCTCTGCCTGTGCCTGTGCCTGTGCCTGCTCTCTATGCCTCTGTCTCTGTAGCAACAACTCAGTCACGGCTTGTGGGTTTGGGCCTTCTAATCGCTTGAACATTCTGCTTACCACTTACCACAAATACTGCCATCTACCATCTCTCTTCCGTTTTCGTTTTCGTTTCCGTTTCCATTTCCACGCACAGCTGGCGCTTGCTGCGCTGATTCGTTGCCTATGGCCCAACAAAAGCTAAGCGCGCCAAAGTATGCAACAGCAAACAGAACAGAAAACGTAATATTTAAATTAAAACTGAACCTCTTCTGTATGTGTATGCGTATGCTCACCCACTACACAGCAGCACACCCACACAGCTGCACACCCACACAGCCAGAATCCCACACCTGATCCACACAAGCGTAAATGCTGATGATGAAATGTTATTCTTTTCTCTCTAAAAATTCGCCCTTTTATGCTGCACACTTTGACACACCGAAAACACAAACACACACACACAAACTCGCACACACACACTCGCACACAGAGGGTCCTCGTTCGTCCCTTTTTTTATACGAATGCGCGGCCTTTCATTTCGTTTAGCATTTTTTTGTGAGACTGTTTTTTGTTGTCTTTTTCCCAGCTCCTTTTATCCCTTGCTTTTGCTTTTGTTTTTGTTCTTGTGTGAAACCAAATTGTCACAGACATGTGCCGCCACCTAAAACCACCACCCCCCGCCTCCCCTCCCCTGTGGATTGTCGCCCGTCCCACGCGGCGTATGCTTAACCTCTGAGTGCTGTACAGTAGCGAGCTAACTCTATTAACTAATAGCGTACTAAAAGCAAATTCCCGGGTTGTCGACCCCACTGATAGTTTCACTGAATCGTTTCTCCCCTCCAGAGCCTCTTCCCCTACGCCTTCTACTTCTGCCGCCGCGGGAGGGGAAGGGACAACGACCTCGATCTGGAGTTCGGTGGCCCCAGCCGGCGGGGCACCAACGGCAACCGGGCCGGATCCGGGTCCGCCGAGCTGCCCAACTGCGTCAACTCCACGGCCTCCTCCGAGATCCACATGAGCGTGATGCGGGCTCGCCAGTACGCCGTCAACGTGACGCCCACCACGGATGCCCAGATGCAGCAGCTCCACCCGCTGTACTCCAACTAGATCTTGGCTGCTCCAGCTGCTCCAGAATCCAGAGTCCAGAACCCAAATCACTCGACAGCTCGAAACACTCCTCGAGGGGGGAGGAAAAAGAATTTAACCACAAATAATAAATAGCTACCGCAACAATACGACAATCCCACAGATAAAAGAGAGCCTTCGAGAACAGCAAATTGACGTGCAAATGAATTGAAATACAAATAGACATACTCGTACATATTTACGCGTCACGGAGTCAGGAATTTCATAAAGAAGTGTTTATAAATGCGCATGCAAGTAGATATATGAATTGAATGTTTGATATACGTATATAAAACGCTAGATGTTTATTGATTGGAATAATACTCAACAAAAATAAGTAATCGCTACAGTTACACTGCGAGAAACAGTGTGGGTTGCAATCCTGGTTGAGCAGTTCCTTCGTACGAGCTTGTTTTTTGATTTTGATAGAATGATTTGAACATTTTGTAAATAGTCGAAGGAAATGCGCAACCAGGCTTGAACTCTATTTTGTAGCAGAGTGTTCATATTGGTTTAATAACTTAATTTTGAATTGCAATGACACAGGTCATTCGGATCGTTCAATACATTAAAATTGTCTAGTTCATTAAACTTAAATCAAAGTATATATATATCATAATACATAACCGAATAGATTCATTCGTATTTGTAGAGCCTAAAGCACGACTAACATATCCATTGGGTCTACTACTTAGACCTCAACTTAGCCGTCAACTTCGATGTTTCCCGACTCAAAGTCCCACACTGTTGTTGTAGTCGAATTAGCGCCAGATAAACACATTATATACGAACTATATACCTGTAGCTATGTACCTCCACCTGCAAGTAGATGCAACTGACATTCGCAGAACTGTTTTGTAATCTTTCGGGCCACCGTGACTAATTCCTAGCGCTATTCTCTTGCCTGGACAATCCGAACGACTTTCGCTTTCGTTTCGAACTTAGTTGAGTAGCAGATAAATAGGAGGAGTTATCAGCAACTGCCACGCCCCCTCGCCGAATTTGTCACCGCCACAGCCATTGCGCCCATAAATCAAAGGTGCTCCAGCGGAAAGCTGGCTAAAACTGTTTGCCCAAAGTATCAGAACGCTGCAAAAAGTGTACGAGTGTAGGACGAGTATACGACATGCATAAACGCCGACTTTTCCTACGATTCACAGTCATTATTTAAAGCGCCGGCTTAAGGGCTCACCGCCGTCGACAAATGAGCATCTGCCTTCTCTGTCGGCGGGACTCGGCCCGCTTTTCTGTCAATATTTGCTTTATTTAACTCTCGACGCTCTGTTTAAACTGCGGAACGCCCACGGAAAGTTGGCAGTCGGCGGCGATGATAACATTTGAAATGTAGCCAAATATTGTTAACTAAATTAACGTCGAACGATTCAGAGTTAAAGTACAAAGCGCGAATGCTCTCTAAATACTTATCCTCGACTAAAATAACCTGAACACATTTATTTTCGGCTACAAAAGTCATTTCTTTGTTGCCACAAGTGTTTCCAGGTGCAATGCACCTCCCTAGAATGTGCAAAAGGAAACAAGCTTGGCAAAAACAAATTATACTGTCACTTACAAAAGACATAAATTAAGTAGCAAAACGATAAGCTTAAGCCACTTTAGTTGGTTAAAATGCTCGCATATATTACTTTCAAAGCAGCTGTGCTTTAAACTGAATGAACTGGAAATGTACTTCCTCGTTTAAGCACCTCCTATACCCACAAGTTAGGGTATTTATTTTCGGAACAGTGTGGCACGTGTCCGTAAACCACCTGGATAACAGCAGAAAAAAACAGGCGTAATTAACAAAAATACGATTTAGTTTAACCGCAAATTGGCATGTCAACTGATGGGAGCATGTGACTTTCGGTTGGCAAAAAAACTAAACTAAAAAGTTCATGCAAACGTCGAAAGAGTAAATAATTAAATTATGGCAATTAGGTAGAGCTCGCGACGATTACAGTCGCTTGTAAAAGTATGCTGCCGAGTCACTCCCTGATGCAATCTAGACAAATCCCCGGATGGCGATGACTTGAGCAACTATTTCTGCCAGCGCCTGTATTATAATCTTATACGACTGATTCATTTTCGTTTCCTACTTTTTTGACAGTGGATGTTGCCAGTTGGAATACAGAGTACCTTGAATAAAACCATTATTACAAATATATACTCGTAAAGCTGAAAAGGGCTCAAGTTCAAATTCATCGTTCAGATGCACTCAAATCGAAGCCAAACCAAAACAAATTAAATGTCCAACAGAAACGCTGAGCTGAAGCTTATTTTGTAACAAACTGAGTGTCTAATCATAAAGGTAGTCGAATAATTGTTAAATATTGTATGTATTATGCATGTGAATAGTTGAAATCAGTGCAATGTAAAGCGAGCAAATAAAAGAGAGTTTTAACAGCAGACCACATCAAGGCAATTAAGAATTAATGCGAAATTCATATATTCATACGTAACTCGGCCACACGCCATTAAATATGAAATGCAAACAGAAGTGACAACAGCGGAGAATGTTAATTAAATTGTGGAAAATATTTACAAGTCAACAAATCATGAAATCGAGAAAAACAAACAGCTAGCACGGTCCTGTGGTCGATTGTCGGTCAATTTCGGAAACGTACTCAGATACTCGTACTCGTCGAACTTCCGCGTTTCACGAGCAAAAAGTTAGGCGAAACCCTCGACTTAAGTAAATGTTAACATGTGCGTTTTTCAGTGGACACTATATTAAATTATACATATATATTTATTATACAGAGGGATATGTTTACGGTGTATGCATGTATTGTATATAGTACGCGATACATATAAATTAATGAAATGAAGCAATTACAATCGTATGGAATAAAAGTAAAGGTAATAATAAAAAGGTTCAAAACATCAGATCATCTGCTTTTGCTTTTGCTGCCTTTCTCTTATTTTCCCCATCCGATTCCTCGACGAACTTCACTCCGGTTCAGGTAGAGATGCGATGGATGGCTCGACGCTCGGGGTTCGACGTTATGAGTGGTTGTTACTGCTATACGTATCTCTAAACTTCTTCTGTATCAACTGATATGCGTTGTAGACCCTGCGGAATTTACGGCCACGCGAATCGGCGATAAGCCAAAGAGAAAGCCAAGAGTTAGTACAGGAAATGCGATTAGAGTGGGGCGATAACCCACCTTTCTTTCGCCGCCTTGAAGGACTTCTTTCGCTGCTTGAGCAGAGCCTTGTCCTGGTTGGCATCCGGATTGGGCAGATCGTTCGGCGATATCGTGGTGATGTTGTCCGGATGGCAGAAGAAGGCTATCGAGTGGCGGCCACGGGCGCGAATGTGTTCCTGCTCGGGAATAACCACGCGGTGTTGCTAGGGGGCAAGAGATTAGGTGGGAGTTACTTTATTTGCCGAGCTTCAAGGGGTTACACCTGCCGGAAAGCAGTAAACTTGATGGGCCTCCACAATCCGTACATTGACACCAGCCAATAAAGGAAATAAGCTTCTCAAATGCGGTTTACTTTTTAGTCCCTCACTAAAATCGCTTTATTACCTAACTAACTTGCGGTTCGAATGAATTATATGGCCAAGCCAATTCGCGGCTGTTGTTTTGTTTTCAACTGCTTTTTGGGATAAGCAAACAAATACAGCTGTGCTAAAAACAATAGTAGTATTTACTTGCTTTTAGCAGTGATAACAAAAGCAGTTTGAGAACTGTTTCAAACGAGCGGTGTAAATAATTCATTGAGACTTGAACACTTTTTTTTATCAATGAGGAACATAAATAAATTCTATATTTTAATTTAAAGTTATTTTGTGAATACTTACCAATGCGGGATATCTCTGCTGAGTCCAGATATTCAGGATCTCGCCGCAGTTGACCAGAATGGAGCCGGGCAGGTGGCCCACGCGGTTCCACTTCTCGCTGCCGGGCAGCTTCACCTCCAGCCCGCCCTCGGAGTCCTGGGAGAGCAGGGTGAAGGTGCCGTAGTCGACGTGCGGGGGACACTGGATGACGGCCCCGCTGCCTAGCTTGTGCTCGAAGAGCTGACCGTTGGGCCCGTCCACCTCGTTGCAGTCGTCCTCGTCGCGGGGATTGTGCTCCGGCCGGAAGTCCGGCTGGTTGGACAGGCAGCGCTGGTAGCTGTACTGGCAGCGGCCCTTGATCACGTCGTTCTGGCCGGGCTCGTCGTCCACGATGGGCGGGTAGTAGAGCATGCGCAGGGAGCTCATGTTGTCGTGGTCGCCGGACAGCATGTGCGAGTGCTTCTCCAGGAAGAAGGTGTGCGGGATGTCCAGGGAGACGGCCAGCGCCTGCAGGATGAAGCTGGCCAGCGCCTTGAAGTCCGTGGCCAGGGTGCTGATGTGGTCCGCGAACCCGGGCAGCGGCTCCTCCGGCAGATTCTGGGCGTTCAGCGTGCTGATGTTAAAGGCGTGTCTTAGTTCTGGCGCCTTTCCATCGAAGCGCTGCTGCCCACGACTCACATAGCCGTGTTTGTCGCCATCCGTGCGGATGTAGTGCTGTTTCACATCTGGCGGGAGGTCCACGAAGTCATCCAGGTGATCCCAGGCAGTCTTGAGCTGTTTCAGAGGTAAAAAAACTTTTGATTAGTGTGACTATCGAAAAATCAGCACACGCTTTCATATTCCCAATATTCAATAAATTAGCCTTGACATTCCACTGTTTACTAATCTCTGGAGATATGGCTCCCCCGGGAATATAAACTATTAGTTTCTACTCCTATCAGTTTGATAGTATACTGAGATTTCTTTATGATTGCTGGTTTATTTATTACGTTATGGATTTCAAATAACGTGGGGGTATTTTCGCCTCTTTAATATTGGTATTAATTTCAAAAAACCCCTTAATTTGCTTACCTTCTCATCTGATATTCCGTGGTTGACCAGCAGCGCCATTCCCTTCTCGGAGAGCGCCTTCTTCAGCTGGTGGCCCACGCGGTTGACCACGGACTTGACCGGCACCTCCTCGATACCTGGAACAGAGAGAAGTCGGGATTAGGTGCGATTCGGCAGAGTGGGCGTGGGAATGGCCAGCGGAACTGCCACTCAGCCGCTAATTGGTTTGTGGTCGCTGTTTATGGCTTCTGCGAACTGTTTGCAGCCCGGCCATCATAAAGTATGGGCAGATTGTACACTCAATCGCCGGGGGCAATAAATAGCTGGCTCGCGAGCACTTGGCCCTCGATTTGAATGTCATGGCCCATTGAGAAGTGTGGCTAAGAGGCGTTACACACGTAAGTCCCTCGGTGAGGTGATATAATCGGGTACTTGGAACCCCAAATCGGCAACAAAGGCGAGCTCGATAATGTGCAATACAACGCCGTGCAATAAAGGTAAATGCAATCAATTCGAACGCGGCGGAACGAAGGTGGCGGCATTGACAATGCACAGCGGAAAATTAAGCAGAAAATTTGCGGAAAAGCCGCAGCGGAAGTGGCGAGAATGGTGCTCCACCCTGCCAAAGATTGTTTCCGATCTGGAGGAAGGGAGGAAGGAACCCCTTTCCGGAGACCCCGCCGATGAGTGAGTAAGTTAATAGGGGTACGAGTCATGAATGAAACCGGGGAATGCAAAGTAATTACACCGTGTCCCACCGGGCGTATGCGCAATCTATAAATAGCCACCCCAGGCACTACTGGATGGAGGCACCTTGCTGCCCTCAGCTCCCGATTTGGCCAGTGACGCACTGCCTCGCCGGCTGATAAGGCCCGTAGAATTTCCAGAATTTCGCAAGTAATAACAATTACGCCCGCTTATCGGCATTCCGGCGGAGATAACTCAGTAGCTTTCGGTCGTCAGGCGGGAAAAGATCGGTTTTTTGTTGTTTTTGCCCAACGGGGAACCAGATGAGATGAGTGGAATGAGAGGTCAGTCGGGCGATCCGAGTGATTCCAATTGACGCCACCAGCGGATCGCCTTTCGTTTTCATCAGTTTGATTTAGTTTTCTGTTATTGTTTGGATCGCTTTCCGTGCGGTTTTCGCTGGCATGCAATTCAATTAGGCGGCAATTGGGATGCGAGTCGCTTTTCAATTTGCCTTTTGCGTTTTCTGCCTCTCGGCCAGCTAGTTGTCAGTGCTAACTTGTCGCTAATTTAGCTAATTGAGTCAGTATGTTCACTCGGTTCGCCAGAGGAGAGGAGGCCAAGTCTATTGAAGATCAGCCATCCCGCGAATGGGATCGCCTCGCTGCCAGAATCTAGCGACGTTTCGACTTGTTTTCCCCTTGTTTTATTGTGTTTCCTATTTGATCGGCGCTGTTGTACAAATTTATCGTCGAAATTGATTGGCTTTATGCATTTATGGTCGCACATAAATTGCGGGCACGCGTTAAGAATTTCTATTGTTTGTGCTCAGCGCCATTTGATTCTGTATGCTTGTAATTTAATTGCAGTTGGGAATGAACTCTTCCTACACTTCGAGAAAACCTAACCCACAGTTAACAATTTGAATAATTGTGTCAGTGGAACATATATATTTTTTTGTTTAATTGTTTGCATTGTATAGCTGTTGGAATTTCCATATACTCATGCGGGAATAACCCCTTGAACATAATCCACAAGTAGATCCCAAATTCGCCACTTGAGTCCCTCGGTTGAATTAATTCAATTCAATATTTATAGACCCATTTGAGCTCGTATATATGTGGCAATTTAGTTGCGGAATTTTCGCCGAGAAATATGGCTGTGCAGTATAAATTATTTATAGAAAACTGAATTGCGGCTATTGGAAATGGGCTTAAATGTTGAACGGGGAAGAGGGTTCCCCTACTGCAGATGTCGGGCTAATGGAAAAATAATTTCAATGCCACTGAAATTTGCGGACAGAAGTCAACGGCATCGAGGTAATTGGCCGGAATAAAATTATCGACTATGAATAAAACTTAGCATCGCTGTGTGGAGGTTGCCAGTTTGTTTGGCCACCTGTCAATTAGATTTGTCAAGAGAACTCAATTCATTTGGAAGCGAAGCTGGCTTGGCCAATTGGCGGGGTCAAGAGAAATCGAGCTGGCGATTTCTACCTATATATATATACATATTTATATGTCGAAAGAGAGAGACAAGCTGGCAAAACGCGATTGTGGCCATTAAACAAAGCGCCAGGCACGTCAGCCGATCCAAGAACCAACAGGTTTGAGCTGGTTTCGATCGGCTGAGCCAAGTCCAACTACTTAACATGCTCGACTTGACTGCCTGGCGGCGTTGGTGCCTCGGATTCGGGTAGCACCGCTTGTTATTTCCGAGTAAACAAGGCGAGGTCCGCCGCACCGATGACGCCTGAGAGTGAATCCCCAGATCGGCCCCAAATCAGATGCGTCACTGGCCGTTTCCAAACTGGTAGCTCCGAGCGGCCAACTGGTCACCGGCAGTGCGTAAACAAAGCTGCAACCAGCCAGCTCACGAGTAAAGTAACTCATTGCAATCACAACAAAATCTGGTTTCGTAACTCGCAACTCGCAACTGGGATAATTGTAAATATTTTGATGCGTTTTGTTTGGGTTTCCGCACTGACTACAGTGACATTGGGTCCCCTTCCCCATGGAAATTGAAGCATTGCTTCACTCACACATCCACTTCGACATTAAATGTAGTCCAAAAACCTCTCGAGCTCGGAACCCACAAAAAACTAAGCAAAGGCAAACGAAACAAAACAATGGAGAGAAGCGATCCAATTGAAGTTCCGTTGACACAAAGCGGCCGCAAGGCAGCGATTTAATTGCTTCTAGCCGCTCTGGGGGTCAATGGCTCCGCGGGGCGAGAAGGTCGAGAAGGGGGAGTGCTTCCCGCCAAGGCCAGGGCCCACTGTACTCGAGTGAAACCCGCGATTACCAGATAAGCGGGCGCTGCATTACGACCGAGGAGAAACTGTGTCACGTATCGGCAGAGACCCAGTTAACACAATGGGAACGGCTCCCAAATGGGTAAATGGAAAATTTCGGTGTGGCCACGAAGAGCGCAAGAAACGCCGAAGAACAAACAGAGCCATTAAATCTGCTGGAAGGGTGGAGGCAATCCAAAGAAGGTATTGAGATTCTTAGCAATGTAAATAAATAAATAAAAGGTATTACAAAATGCACCATACAACAATATTCCTATTTAATGCAACCTATGTTTATAAATATTTATAAGTTTGAAATATTGCACAGCAGTAGATTACAATGCATAATAAAATTATAATTTTAAATCTTAACCAGTGCTGATTTAGAAGCAATCACTTGCGAATTACTCATGATTTATGACACCAAGAAATCGCACCGAAATATCAGGCTTCAAGAGCGTGATACTGGTTGGTTTAAACACACAGAAGTGTTCCATTAAGGCACTTCATAGATTAACTATCTACTTTCAATTAGTTGACTTTGGGCGATAAGGTGTACTATATGTTCTGTGTAACTTCTCAGTCAGATTTCCCCTCTCCATTGGCATTGCATACTTGTATTCTCGGAAAAGCTCAGCTGCCAAAGATCAGGTGTCGGGTGCACAAGTCAATAATTACTTATAATTAACTACGACGTAGTTGTAGTAAATTAGGTAACTGCAATTAACCGAGGGATCCCTGGTAGCCCTGAACAATTGGAAATAGTCACCCCAACAGATTTGTCGATGACTCAGTGAAGTCTGTACTCAATTAGGCCCAGCTGACTGCGGAGTTTTAAAGTACACGGGGAAAAAACATAACATAACCAAAATAAACTGATTGTTTATTTTTGTACCTGATACTAAAATAATCATATCAGTTCTGTACAATTCCTATCACTTAATTATAAATGTGAAATTGAAATGCATATACAGGGAAATGAAAGCCAAACAAAAGCGCTATATTTAATTTTAAAATATTTTAAATTTTAATAGCTTGTGCGGAATTCTTTCGATGAATCATAAAATTCTTTAAGATTTTATATTATTCTTTTTCTTTTTTGTTTTAATACAAGGTTTTCTTGGGAATTCCACTGAGTGGCTTTTAATAAGCACAAAGCAAACATAAGTTTTAAGATAAAATAGTTTGGTATGACCTATGATTTTGCGGCGGTTATTGTCAATATTAACATAGCAGTTAAAATTCAAATCTACACCCGAAAAAAGTTATAAGTTTTGCGAGTAACAAAGTTCGAATGGACTCTTTGTGTTTATTTCTGTGGGCATGAGTTTTATTTCACACGAAATTCGACTGAGAATAGAATTTATCGAGGTGGGAACTCCCCGATCGTTTTAATTTTTTTCTGTGATGTGTATGTCACAGATAAGTGTTATTTTTGAATGGAAAACTTCCCATTGATGGCCGGGTGCCGCGTTTCTTCTCCGTGCACGAACGCTGGCTGAAATGGCCGCCTAGCAACGAGTTGATCAGCCCGGAATGGAAATCAAAATGGGTGGCTCAGCATGGGGAAGCTCAATGGGGGACTCTAGGGGCTTCCAGGGGGGGAGTACTTACCACAGTGGGCGAGATCGATGATCGGAACCACGCTGCGCGAGAGGAGCGTGTCGAGCTTGTCGTCGCTGCTCTTTGTTTTTATCATTTTGCGCGAGTGGCTGTGTTCTTGTGTTCTTCTGATTTCCAGAGGGTCTTGGCCGTCTAAAGTTCTTTGGTTCCTCGATCGGGCGGAGCGATCGAACACTCGCCGCACTTGTGCTCGCTCTGGCTTTATCACAAACTGGGCACTTGGGACTCCGGGGAGCGGAGAGCGGGAAGCCGGGACGAAGTGCACTTCCAGCGATGGCTGACTAAATAAAACTGAATGACAGCAACGCACAGAATTCGATTATTAGACTGGTTATGCCGACACGACAGAGCGAAAAAAAAACAAACAAACATTCAAATCGCGCAACCGAGTGTCTTTGTTTTTGTTTGAGTTTAAGTTTCGTATTTTGTTTTTGCAACGGCTATTGTTTTTGTTTGGCTGGCGAGCAAACGCTTCGACAGCAGCAGTGGTAAAATGAGGGGAGAGCAGAGTGGAGGAGGTTTGCGATCCAATACGATCCGAAAAACGAACGGCTGATTGAATTGGGGGATTGGTGATTGGGGCTGGGGACTGCGGATTTTAGAAGGGCGCGTGGCGGACGAGGGGCGATCGAGCAATCTTCTTCGACGGACTAAACCACTCGCTTTCCAAGCTCCAAGTACCAAGTTCTGGGTTCCGGCGCTTATCGCAGCCAACTGGCCACAATTCGCCTCGGTTTACGATTTTATTTTGCAAAAACCAACTGATTGCGAAGGGTGTAAGCATGTGCGTCGCAATTAGATAAAATTTAATCAAATCAAAAATTGTGATAACTAAATTAGCACTTGTCGTTCTGGGGGAGGAGTTCCCTCCCACCTTACCTTCCCGTACAGTCAGTACTCACAGAACGCACAGTTGGTACTCCGGCTTACTGCTGACGGATTATAGCCAATCGGCCGAAAGTTGAGACTATCCAATGCCGTCAACAGGTAGTCGTCTCGGTTTGCTTTTGCAATATTTGAGGTGGCTATTAACGTGGCCAGCCGGGCACACACGAATGGAAATAAGTATCTACATGCGAGCCAGATACAGATACTCTGGTTGCGGTGTGCGTCTGTATCTTTTGCATTGTGCCTTGTACCTTGTATATTGTATATTGCACATTGTATCTTGTATCTTGTATCTCGTATCTGGCAGATCCCGTTTGCCGCCTAACGGCACTCGGACTCAGGTGTGAGCCCTCCTTTCTGCCTTTTCACCCCCTAAGCAGCCAGCTGAGCGACCGATCGTCGACCGATCGCTGTTGCCAAGCGGCTTCTGGCTTCAGGAAATGCCGGACGGACAAAGTCTGAGTCTGCCAGTCTGCTTGAAATCGGTTTTCGAGGGAAGGTTGGACGGTTGGTTGGACGGATGGATCGATGGATGGATGGAAGGTTGGTTGGTTGGGGAGGGGTCTTTGGGTGTGAGTAAGCGTTGGCAGAAACGAACACTCCCAAGCCACTCGACGAAGCGCCTGCTCAGCTAAAAATTGTGATTTACACCGAGGGGATTGCTTACAGTGAAAACTCGCTTTCTTTTTTCGCACAGGTTTCGCTTTTCATCAACGAACACCAGACCCGAATCCACGAATCGATGAATCGACAGCACAGCACGGCAGTTGGCCAACAATCTAGTTAGTCAATTTTCGGATCGCTTTCTGATGCCTTTTTTGCACACTTTCCATCATTTTGTAACACACTCCACTCGCGAATTTAACCTAGATACACCTGAACTAGCGCAGAGAGGAACGGCGTCTGCCTCAAAACATTCGCTATCCGCGATCCGCGATCTTCGCTCGACTCGAATCGGATCCAGATCCAAAAACGATCTCTCCCCTATCGGCAGTCACTGTGTAACAGTCACTGGAGCAAGTATCGATACATTCACTGGTTTCCAAGTGCGTGTAGAATCGATTTAACTTTACATATTAATGTAAAATGTAAAGTATTTTACCATAAGAAGTCGATTAAAAGGGAATTTTTATGATTTTCTAGAAACAACCAAAACAACCTAAACTTTATTTCCCCACTTTATTGTGTAATATCTAAAATCAGTAATTTAAACTACACAATTCTTAATTGGTTTTTTATTAAATAGGCAACACTTCTTTACAATTGATCGTTATGTTCTTGTGGCTACAGCTGTGATGAACTCATGCCCCAGATTCGTTTATTTATTGAGATCGCTGACCGTAGGTGTCATTAAACTTTTTCTGTATTAGTTCATAGGCGCTGTACACTCTAGGAGTAAAAAAAGAAAAAAATTAATATTGGTTAGAATTTAATTCAATTATATTTCAGAACATACTTGTCATCACTTGGTGTTCCCTCATCACCCAAGAGATCGTTCGGAGAAATCGGTGTTGAGTTGTTGGGATGGCAGAAAAAAGCAATGGAATGCCGGCCGCGGGTTCGTATATGATCCTGTTCAGGTATAACAACGCGATGAGGCTGAGGGAAATATAGAAAACAGGATTAGCGAACTGAAGAAAATACCCATCTAAAAGGGATAACCCACCAAGGCGTGGTATCGCTGTCTCGTCCAAATGGAGAGGAGTTCCCCGCCGTTTATGAGAATGGCTCCAGGTAGATGGCCCACTCGTTCCCACTTCTCGCTGCCGGGGAGTTGCACCTCCAATCCGCCTTCGGAATCTTGGGCGAGAAGGGTGAAGGTGCCGTAGTCCACATGGGCGCCACACCGAATGGCTCCCTCACTCTGACCGGGTTCATCGTCCACAACTGCGGGATAGTAGAGCATCCTCAGAGTGCTCATATTAACGTTATCGCCCTCCAGCATTTCGGAGTGTTTTTCCATCAAGGATTTGGGGGAATCTCCAGAGCCACCTCCATGGCTTTCAATATAAACGCGGACATGGTTTTCAAATCCTCGCACAAAGTCGTAATATCATCAGCGAATTCCGGAAGGGGATCCCTCGGAAGATTCTTATCGTCCAGCTTGCAGATATTGTAGGCGTGTCGAAGTTCGAGAGTGCTTCCATCGAATCGCTCCATTCCAGGACTGACATATCCGTAGTTCACGCCATCCTTTCGGCGGTAGCGATCCTGAACCTCTGCCGGCAGATCCAAGAAGTTGTCGAACTGATCCCATACGGCTTTTATCTAAGAGGTCGACAAGCATTAGGAAAAGATATTCGAAGCTATCCAAACTCACCTTGTCTTCAGCTAACCCATGATTAACCAGAAATGCTATTCCCTTTTCGGTAAAGGCCTTTTGAAGTTGCTGACCAACCCTGTTGACGAGCGACTTGCCTGAAATTAAAATTATTATTACAAATGTATAATTAAATTATTATTATCATTCAAAGGTGAGGCTCTTTTTTTGATTAAACCATTTCTTAGTAATTACTTGGATATGTTTTGAAAACAATATTAATAGTGCTTATCAGCGCAAGCCCCAAAATCACCCCAATCAAATATTTTCTTTTTGGGGATAGTGAAAAACTTACAAACATGCTGGTACGTCACACCAACTATTTAATTAATTAATAGAAAGTAATATTTATTCAAATGTGAGGGGGATGTATAATCTTACCGCAGTGGGCGAGATCGATGATCGGAATAGCGCTCCGCGATACAAGTGTTTCCAACTTGTCATCTCTTATCTTGCTGTTTATCATTCTTGGTAAACAAAGACCCGCTGAGGTAAATTAAATACAAGAAAGATTGCCGCTGGAAATTCTCTTCAGCCGAGAACTCTGAAAATCCGAGTACGATGTGAACACAACACGCTTCTCCGGCAAACTGACCAAAACAGAAAACAACCTTTGCATTTTAATATATTCCTTATCTTTTATTCAAGGATCAATCGGAGTTGCATACTTTACGGTGTGGCTCAAGTATTGTTTATACATTTGGATGGTAACTACACAACATTGACAATATTTTAAAATTTACTTTCATTTATGATTTCAAAATATTTATTTTCTACGAGTAGTTATGTCCATAGGCGGCTCTTGCCAACTCCATAGTTAAATCATAAGCGTTATAAATCCTGAAACAAAATTTAAACAAGAAAGGAAGCTGGCTTAGAAAGTTAAAAAGTTATGGACTTAGAACAAGTGTTTGTTTCCCATTTGTTGGAAATTTTTAAAGGGCTTGTAGTAAAAAAATAAATAAATAGACATATAAATAAAAAGAATAAAAAAAATTAGAAATTTAAGAATAATCTCACCTGGGCTGTTCTGAAACCTTTTCTGAAGGTTTCAACTCCTTCGGATCTATAAGAGTTGAGCTATCAGGATGACAGAAGTATGCAATTGAATGTCTGCCTTGCTGACGCTTATTCCCTTGATCAGGAACCACCACTCGATGTTGCTGAAGAATGGATGTTAATATAAAATAAAATATTCTGTAAGGGAACTTATAGACTTTTACCAAGGCGTGGTAGCGTTGGTTTGTCCACAAGGCCATGGTTTCGCCGCAGTTTATGAAGAGTGCTCCAGGAAGATGACCCACTCGCTCCCACTTCTCACTGCCCCTCAGTTTGACTTCCAATCCACCTTCGGAATCCTGGGCAAGCAGGGTGAATGTACAGTAGTCGGCATGGGCACCACATCGGATCACTTTTCCAGGATCTTGATCAACCACCGGAGGGTAATAAAGCATCCTCAAGGTGGTGAGATTATACCTATCATCTGATAACATATAAGAGTGCTTGTCGAGGAAAAACGAAGGCTTAACATCAAGGGAAAGTGCCAAAGCCTGAAGAATAAATCTACCCAACTCATTAAAGTCATTTGTTAATGAGTTTATGTGATTCGTAAATCCGGGAAGCTGATTTTCTGGAAGAAACTCAGGCTCCAACTTGCAAATGTTATATGCATGACGAAATTCCGGAGTCCTGCCATCAAATCTTTCCATTCCGGGACTCACGTAACCATGATTTTCAGCATCTAGAGCCTTGCTGCGTTCGTAGATTGATTTCACCTCATCAGGCAGTTCAATAAAATCATCGAAATATTTCCATGCAGTCTTAATCTGTTAAATTTCTTATGTACTTTATATTTTCTATAAATTAGACGGCGTTTACCTTCTCCACTGAAATTCCGTGGTTGATAAGCAATGCATAACCCTTATCAGAAAGAGCCTTTCGGAGATTTTGGGAAACGTTTTCAACGGAGTTTTCCAAATCTATTATTGGAACAGCGTTTCGCGAAAGAAGCGTCTGAGTCTCAGATTCCATTGCTTAATGTAACCAAAGTTCTTATCAAGCCAACTGGGTGTGTTGTTATTCCAATCACAATAGAAGCAAGACTGAAGGCAAAGCAAATATTTTAAATTGCAGATGCAGATAGAAAGAAATGGAAAGAGAATGCATGCATTTGATTTCAGAGTATACCTTTAGGTTGGTTTTCTCCCAGAAAAGGTATGTAAAAACACTGTAGAAGATTGTGTAAAGCAAAAGTCATGTAGAAGATACATTTTAGATTGAAAACTGACACTGACAGTTCACCGTTCCCATAATAATTGCTTTCTTTGTGGTGGAGATAACCGAAGTAAATAAAGATAATCACCGTTTACATAAGAATCGTTTGTTTATTGCTTGCAAATAAAATATACAAAATTACACTTCATCATAGAATTGGGCATGACAAGGGGACAGTTCTGAGCGGCAAAAAGTCCAAAAGTTGAGCGACCTTCGCTCGCCATTCGCCTGTCCAAACTCGCCGTCGACTCTCACAGTCCGCAGGGTAAGGTCTAATCACTAAACTATAATATTTGGTACTATTACACTATCCCAATACAGAAAGTGCAACGATCTCTCGCACTCCGCAGTGGCTGGTCGACTGATTCGATCCGAGCAAAAGTACAAAAGGGCCGCTCTCCTCGAACTAACAAAATACTACGAAACAAGCTTACGCGACTACAGATTGTATAATATCCTTCTTGACCTATGTATACCTAGGGTTTGGATAAGGGGGATAGGTGGGGTTGAGGATCGGGAGGGGAAGGGTATTTGGGAAGGAAGGGATGACCATAAAAGTAAGGGTGCATAGCTTAAGGCAGCGCCAACTAACGTCGCTTCCTACTCTCTACTCCTTTTTCGCCGCCAACTTGGCCTGGGCAGCCGCCTCCTTCTTGTAGTTGGCCACGTAGAAGGCGCTGAACATGTAGGTGAACAGGCCAGCGTTGAAGGTCAGCAGGGCGGCAATGGACTTGGGGAAGTTGCAGTTCGGCTGGAACTGAATCTGCAGCGTGTGCACAAAGATGATCAGGAATTGGACCTACGAAAAGAAGAGCGATATAAAACCAAATAGATAGATCTTTATTAGATTTAACTTACAATCTGCAGGATGGTGATGTACTTCTTCCACCACAGGTACTTCTGCACCTTGGGGCCCATCGCGGAGAGCAGGTAGTAGGCGTACATGATGATGTGGATGAAGGAGTTGATGAATCCCAGCAGGGTGCCGTGTCCCCCGGCGAAGTACTTCACTCCGATGAAGGCGCACACGGGCATCAAGGTGTGGTGGTACAGGTGGAGGAACGAGATCTGGCGCTGCTTCTTGCGCAGCACGAAGAACACGGTGTCCAGCAGCTCGGTGATCTTGGCGATATAATACAGCCACACGGCACGAGCCATCTTTTTATGGGATTTAATTAATATATAGTTTATATGTAATCTAAGAGCAAGTCTTACCCTCATGGAAATGGGATCGGACTCGTAGGTCACCGGCTGGCACTTGAAGTTGTAGTGACCGCCCCAGCCGCCCTTGTATCCCTCGTAGAAGAGCACCCAGCTGAGGAGCACCTGGACAGCGTTGTACACCAGGAGGGTGTTCTTCAGCTCGAAGGGCTTGCGGTCCCGCATGTAGCGAGGTCCTGCGTAGAGGCAGAAGTACAGGTAGGCTCCCAGGATCATGAACAGGGGTCCGGGGGCGTTCGAGAGGAACCATTGCTGAAAGAACACAGATTCGAGTTTATCTCTGCATTAGTATGTAAACAAGTTTTAGGGCCCAAACATTTTGTACACGCTGTGGATGTCACGTTCTCCAAACCACTTCACCTTGATAAAGTTCGTTTAGTTGGAATGTTTATGTGATGTAAATTTTTACCATATTTTACGCTTTAAATAAATAATATATTTTACAATATAGGTTACCCACCTTGGTGCGCAGGTCCTCGTGCTCCACGAAGAAGTTGACCATCCGGTCGACAATCGTCGTCGTCTCGTTCAGTCTGACCGACATCTTGGGTGCTGAAAGTGCAGGTTGATCGACAATTTAGCTTAGATTGAGCAGCGAGGGTGGATTAGCACCTTCTACGACCGTGATCGTGGACGATCAGCGGGTAGAAGCAAAGCGCATTCGACTTCTGTTTGGATTGCGCACGGTGAGCATTTCCTGTTAATCAGCGGGGCACACAAGCTAATGCTGTCCAAGGCGAAACCGCGCCCACGCTCGCAGATCAGAGAATACGAGTGGATAAACGAGTGGATGTATAGTCACCGGTATTTGCCTGCCTATGGCAAACTGATCGTCGCGGGTGCGAAATGTCATATCGGTGGATTCGTGTAAATCAGGCGTAGCGTTGCAAATTTCGGAATGCCAATAACCTGGCAAATTCTGTCGAAGAAGCGGAAAAAGCGGCCAGCCAAACACTTTACACTCGTAACTTGTCGATGGTTTTGCGGCCGAACTGTCGCATCAGCAATTGCCGTTGCGCGTTTAGTTCTCTTTGCCCAGATTATGATTTACATGCATTGTTAAGTGCCGGTTGATGGCTGTTGACCAGGCCGAAACAAGGGACCCGCTGCGGCTTACGTGAACAGAAACCGAACTGGTTTCCTGCCCATCGTTGTGGTTGTTAACTTGCCCAAATTAGCCCGTGCTCCACGCCCCCGATCGTTCCTCCTTCTGGCTAGTTTTTGTTGGGGGCTTTTGGAAAAACCCAGGAAGCAGGATAGCACAAGGACAGCCTGGCAGGTCCATGCATCATTAATTTTATGGCAATGCGATCGGGCAGGAGAAACCGGTTGGCTGTGATCACTGGCTTACATCGCTGCATTTACGGACAACAAAGTGTTTTAGTTGTAGAGCAGAATCATATATTTTATCTAATTGATATGCTTAAGTGCTATCTTGTGATCTTGAGGAACTATTTTTAGTCAGACCAGCACTACTCTTGTACTTTGAACCCGGTTAAAGATGCCTTTCCTTTTTCTTCCCTCTTGGCTATTTATATTTATGATTTTATAAGATACACCTACGGGATGGCAGATTCACGCACAAGAATTTTATGGCCATTGTTGTCTGGGGAACCAGTTTCGGAGGCAGTTTTTGCAATAGTTGATGATCGCGAATATCGGCTGGCCGGCTGGCCGGCCCATCCCAAAATCCTTTAGCAACGGTGACTAGAGCTTTTCGATGCGCGCCGATATCGGTCGTTATGCGGCCACAATGGCCAGCGACTCAATGGCTTCTCGACGCACCGCCTAGGCCAAATATGTTGGCCCAGTTCGGCTCCGTCGGAGGCACTTGGCCACTGGAATCATCACTCGGCGGGCCGGGCTCTATTAATTACGTAGGCACCTGCCATCTGCGACTCCGGTTCGCACTCGAAGTGAACGCCATTATCGAATTACCCAGCGATTTCTGTGGAGTCATCGCTCTCGGCGGAGCTGCGCGCCAAAATGCATTCATTCAGTGGGATATATTGAGATATTGACTAACGAGAATTTCGTCTGACTTATTTGCATTTTTTCGAGTGCCTTTGCCGAGTGTTTTTGCAAGGCCGGCACTTTCAATCGACCAAATCCAGCCAATGGTGTTTTCGAGGGTGCGAAGACATTGTGCAAGACTTTGCATACACTTTGTGGGCTTTCTAGAATTCCCAAGCACAAAGGATGGAGCATAGAACTAAAAGTCGATTGCAACAGGAACTGAGCATTCAGTTTTAACATTATTTTATCGTATAGATCTGTATGCAAATTCATAACTCGTTTTATTTGCCCGCGAGCGTTTATTATTTGATAAACATTATTCCGCACGAACATCTGCGAGTTTAGCTGCTCCAGTAACCTGTTAATGCAATTTCCAATCGAATTTCACCGGCAAACCTCAAATGAAATAATAAAAGCAAATGAAAAGCAAATTATTATATAATCTAAGCGAAATTGTCTACCGGTTTGCCGCCGCCGGCGATGAAATTTAATTCTTGATTTATTTAGCGGTCGAGGGTTGAACTTGGACTTGGTCTTTTGACTACGAAGCTCTTTTATGGCCATTTAGCAGTCATAAATAGTTAGATAATATTCGGCGAATTCCAGTTTTGAACCAGAGGCCATCGCTTCCCCCGCCCCTTCTTCCGGTCTCGGAGATCAGACTCGCCGGAGTCATCTCATCGCAGCCCAACAACAATCTTCGGAACTGCTGTAAACCTTTGCTTATCTATATCTTAATTATTGACTTTCAGAATCGTCCGATGTCCGAATGCAAATTAGTTTGGACTTTATGGCCAAAAACCCCAAAGTCAGCGTTAGTTTGCATTTGAATTTTAGAATTTTTCCCCTGCTCTTTATGGCCAGAAATTCCGCAAAGCTATTAACCGATTGACCCATGGAAAAACTCCACTACTCCGCTACTTGATGGACCCTGAAGTCTGCTCTCGTTTTGCATAATGGTAAACCAAAACATTGCGCAAATCCTAGCTACTTTTCCAGCATTGCTGACGGCCGTTTGCATGCCAATTAGCGATTGACAGTGAACGAGAGTGCGTGGCAGCGACAGAGCAAATATTAAGTGAAGCCAAATAATGGCAAAGCAAATACCCACGAGTAGGTGTATAAATATCACCCGCTGCCCTGACGTCACATTCCTGTTTATTATTATGCGATAATCAGCCCGGCCAGAAGTCGGCCGATAAATTCTAGACACGCGCCCCGCCGCAGATTCGCACGTTTTGTTCTGTCGCCAAGCTGGCCACCATTTTTGGTCATCGCAGCACATGGGGCGTATGCGCAATGTGCGCCCCATTATGCTAGGAACTTCGGAGCCAGGTTTATTCTATTTACAGACTCTAGGCTGATAAGAGGCCGCATGGGAAGGCCCAAGCGTCGGCTCAAATGGCCCGGAATGTTGAGGACGGCAATCAGAGGCGGAAAGGTGGGGAAAAATATTATATATGTGCACTTGGAAAAAATAACCATGTTTGAGAGTTAAATAAATATTTGAAAGTTATTTCCTGATATAAAACGCTATATATAACCGATACATTGGTATCTGACTTTCATTTAATTCAAATTTATGAATCTTTATATTTTTCATAGTGTAGTCCAACAAAAGAGAAGACAAAATATTGAATCCGAAGACGGAGCGGCAGCCTCTGATCGGGCGATTGAATGGACCTAAGGCAATGGCAACGACTTCGGCATCGGCAACGCATTAAAAATCTCTGCGAAGGTCGCACGTTTTGAGGAACCGAAAAAGCGGAGCCGCAGAGGCGATCTCTTGCATTGGAGAGCAGGTGGGAATCGGCCATATTTTCCGCTCCCAGTGCGACTTTTTCAGGCGTGGCCCTGCTGACTGGCTGGCTGAACAAACATGGGCCAATTCACATCATCGCAGGCGTATTATCGGCGGTCAGGTCTCTTTTCGTATGCTGATTTCGATTTTATTGGCTCTACTATTTTGCATTAGCCTTAGTTTGTGCTCTGACCTTGAACTAGTGGCTAGTGCGAGTTGCTGCAGGCCCATAAATTACTCGATTTGAGCTAAAACAACTTCGGTGACTTCCGCGTGGCTGAGTGAGCAGAAAAACAAAAAAAAATTCCGAAGGAATGTTAGATAAACTATCTCCCGGCATTCCCGTGTCCAATTAACTGGACCCGACTGGGTTTCCATTACTGCATTACTACATTACTAGAAATGTCTGTAAGTGCTAATTGAGTCAACTCATTGGCTATTTGTCGAGATCGAGGAATGATGTGTGGGATAATCGACGGGCAATCGATTAGATCGCCAGTAATACTCCCTCCGATGACGAGGGCGGCGCGAATGTAAGTTATTCCATATGCTTTCTTCGGTTATTGGATTATTTAAATCTCGGCTGTTTGTCTTTATGAATATGCATTGCCTGAGGATGTTTTCCCGCTGCAGTTGCACACGAAAACCGGTCAAAGTTCGCCGTCTCAGTCTTTCGTTTGGGCAGCGACTGAATAAATTACCGAAGCAGAAAAATAGCGACTAATTGCGCATGCCACAAATCAAATCGCATCGATTCCTCTCCGGATGACGGGCCCTTCTTTTAATTATGATCAATTAGGTTCTCCGACTGGGAAAACTACCGCGACAATTAACAGCTTCGGATAGACAGGCATAAAGTGGTTCTCCACTCGATGATCATTACCCCAACCCTTTGTTTGTTCTTTTTTTGTGATATTGATGTCATTGCACTTGGGTTGCCAAGAATCATTTGGTTTGGCCCAAGGGTGTCCAGATTGACCTAGTCATTCATATAAGCAAGCCGAATAGCCTTCCCCATAAATATTCATTCTCTGCGACTCCTGACCTCCAATATTTGCCACTGTCATCAGCTTCATCATCATCGCCTTGTTCTGCCTGGCGAACTGTTTGCCTTGCCATCATTATATGCTTTTTCTGGCCAACTTGCCGAGTGCCGCCTTGTTGGGCACACAAGTCACTTGGAAACGCACTCGGCCGGGGAAAAAGCGGAGAAACCCCAAAACCAGATGGAAATTTGCCTGATTTCGGTTCGCTGTGGGTGTGACCGCCAGCGCATGTGACCCCAATTGGATCCAAATATTAAAATGTAATTTGCCGGGGCGACAAAATGTCACCGCAGAGGCCATAAACATGGGCCAAAATCACCCGAGCCGCCAACGTGCGAACGGATGTGCAGCAGAGACCTTTGTGGACCCGATCCCAAGACGCCGCCATAATTTCGCTCCCCGCCTGACTAACCGCCTGACTATCTCCCCAGCTATCCAACTGTTGACGCCAAGAAAACAACAATAAAATCATAAATAAACAATTTGTGCGCATGCGTGAACGTCACCATCGCCCCAAGGGCAATTCCAACCGAATTATATTGGTGAAAAATTGCTGGCAACTGTAGGATCGCACGGATCGTGATACTCGAGTTAGGTTTTTATGAATGAATGCCAGATATTTCGTAACCAAAGATCAACAGCCTAGCCCGCCATCCCAGTGATTTGTCATGTTCTTATCACATCGCCACTCGGAGCAAAGTTTGAGCGCAAGTTGACTTTGGGATTTCCGACGATGTGTATCGCTCCATTTAGCACTTCTTCTGATTGTTATTTATATCGCAAACTGGTCCACTGTTCCCATTGTGTCGAAAATGTAACGCGAAATTCAGGGCTAAAGAAGAGAGATCTCTGATGAAATAAGGTCATATGAAACTTAATCCCGCAGGCACACTCAAAAAAGTGGCTATCAAATTAACAAGTAACTTTTGAAAATAATTCTCTATCAATTCATCTGTGAGCTCATTAATAACAAGTTTTAATTTATAGCTATTATTATTATTTTTATTCTTTGTAATGAACCTCAATTTGATTAAAACTGATTTTTTCTCTGTGCACCTAAAAAGGGTAATGCAACTGGCGGTGGCAACTTGTATCAGGTCGCAATGCGTTTGGCTTCGGCTGCGAGGGATTACAATAACGCTTAAAATTGATCAATAGCCAGGCGATTTACATATGAGCCACATTAGCCGCATGATTGACTTGGCCAACGCGGACCGACTTGTTGGCCATCTTCATCTCCACTTCCATCTGCGGGCATTACAGCTGGTTTTGTAAGCCCGCCTTTGCCGCCTCTCCTCGCTCCCATGTTATTTATTTATACAATATTTAGTTTGTGTTTTTCTTTCGAATTCGTCCGTGCCCGGGTCTTTGGGCCTGGGTGTTTCGTTTCGCAACGACCCCAAAAATGTCTCGGATCTTTAACAGGTTGCCAACGTGTGCGCATAACTTTGCATAAAATCTGAGCCCAAACTGCCATTGTGCTTTTATTTTCTGTTCTCTGAATGGTTCTTTAACACTTGCCTTTCTGCTGAATTGATTTCTCGGGGACCGAAAAATATTGACTGGACGTCTGTGATTAATTTGCGGCACGACACAGCACACGGCACAAACGAACGCACAAACGGATCCGGCGAAGGACAGACACTAAAACAAACACTTTCTGTTATCCTTCGGAACAATATCGCGCATACGCGGCGTTGGCGATCAGAACGCAGAAGAAGAACACGAGGCGACCAGGCGCGAGATCTCGAGCTCCACGAGTACCAGCGAATACTTGGCAGTTGGGGCGCCGACAGCAGACTAAGCGATATCCGGGCCCTACAAGCGGTCTTGTAGCGATCGTATCACGGATACGAGCGCCTCGCATTCGGCCAAGATTCGCAGTCGCACTCGGCCAAGATCGTATTGCTTGCTGGCTGGCTGACTGGTTGGCTGAAAGCCGACGATCGCAACAGTTCGCAGCGATTCGGAATCGAGAGAATCCAGCTGGCATTGCATGTTTTTTAGGGCCAGTTCTAGGATCTGGGCGGCTAATTACCCATCGGGCGGCAAATGTATGCAGACGGTAATGAGAAGTCGATAATTAACTTGATGAAACGCCGCCCCTCGCCAGCAGAAACTATTAATGAGCTGGGGAATGTGGCAGTCGAGCAAATCATAACAGAAGCTCAGGCAGTCGGACTGCCAAATGCCTAACTGCCCAACTGGCCCACTGCATTCATCATCGACTGGCCCATATGCGCTCGCCGCGGCGGTTGTGTGGGGTGTGCAAATGATTGTGCAATTAAATGGCCCCAAAATGACTCCGGGCCAGAGCTTCCAGTGGCCACTTGATGGATTTCAGCCGCGTCATTCCCTCGCTCACTCGCAGCAAAGTCGCAGCTTACTGGCTCCGCGAAACTGCAATGCACCGGGTACTAACTTATTGTCTTGGCTCCGTGGGCCAAAAAGAGTCCACACCTGACGAGACGCACTGACTCCGCGCCGAAATGCAAGTCTGACATTTGCCACCACCTCTAATTGCTCAATCAACCGAAAAGAAAAAAGAGTCGACGGTCCCCATTTGACTGTCAAGTGGCTGACACGCCCACCCATCCCACGCATTCAGTTCCCCCATGTGCACTCCATCGAGATCCGAAATTTCATCGATTCATTCATACGATCTTTGGATTCCGATCCGGCGATGCCCAATTCGGCTTCAATTAAGCTTCCGCAATAGCGAAGGTCGCCTCAGTTGGCAACTTGGCATGTTGGCATGCCCGGCGCGTGCCCGAATCTCATTTTGGAGCTGCTGCTGCTGCTGCGGCTGTTAAGCTGGAGCTCCATGGGGTGCTCATTTCAATTGCTAAATATTTTGGCTAAATATTTTGGCAATTCGAGGAAGATTCTACGCAGCTCGCTTTACGTTAACGAGCCCCGCGTTTGAACCCATTTCAAGGCGTGCCGACCAACAGCAGAGTAAGCAATCGGAAGACAGTCAATATACTCTAAGACGTGACGGAGTAAATTGATTTCCAACAAGGGAAGACTATTAAGTAATATTTTATGTTGCTTCCTATGTTTAAATGCGTCTAATTGAGACATAATGACTTTACTTGTTCATGAAAATATTTATTTTATATTTATACTATTTCCAATATTAAAAAGATACTTAAAAGCGGTTATATTGAAGCAATATGTATTTTTAATGTAAGAAAAATCTCCAACTAATTTTAATACCCCCCATTAAGGCTTTAATGCTAATATTTACTGCTAGTTTCTTTTTATGGGATTCTCTTTACGAAGTAGAAAATTACGCCCATAATTTTTACTGTTCAATTACAAAGAAAGAAACCAAATGTATATTTATTGCTGGCAAATGTTAGATAAGAACAGAGAACGTATAACTCTAATCTCAAAATCTACGAATGTCCAATTTATTATTTATTTTAAGCTATCTGCTATTATCTGCAAACCAGAGCCAAAGTAACTTTAAAATCAATCAGTTTATTGTTAAGCGAGTATTTCCGGAAATTTTCCATACGAATTTTCACTTTTGTCTTCAACTCAAGCGATTTCAAAGTCAATGTCGCCTGGCGGAAACAAAAGACTTCGGACACGAACTCGCGCCGATGCCCCGGAGATATAGATACTGCTGCTGCTGTTCATTTAACGACTCGTTCGATTAGAGCTTTTTATTCAAAGCATCTTTACATTGGCAACAACAAAGCGAACATAAATAAAAACATATCGCCTGTTTTTGGTTTTTGGTGGGCATTATACGGTTTTAATGTTTTTGAACTTGACGAGATAGCATCATTTGCATGAAAATGATTGGATTCGGTGTTTCTGCAAGAATAGGATTGATCGTTAGGCGGAGGGGCAAAAAATTCTGCCTGCTCTTTTGTCTTATTTTGCTCTTAATTTAGTGGTTTTCGGTCGTTTTTGTCGCTTTTTGTGGCAGTTCTTGTGCGCAATCGCTGGCGTACATTAAAACTCAATTAATGCGTAACACTTGGGGAACGCTGATGGGGAAAAAACGCAGCCAGCCCAATGTTGGCGAGCAGCGGAGTCTGAGGCTGATTGGAAATCAATGAACTAACGAACTGGACACACAGCGGATGCTGTGCGACAGCCTTGACCATAACACTTAAACGCCGAAAACCTTCAAAGACCAGTTGCCACTTGCTGGCTGTCAGTCCGGGTCTTTAGACTCACTCGCAGTCTCAGTTAGCGTACGAGTGTGTTTATTGAATTTAACGCATAAAGCAACTGCACAAGACCATTAATAAACAGCCGAAAGCCGACTTGAAACTGGGTGGCAGTCTGAACTCTGCAAATACGCATTCGACTCTGCCAGTCTGCGAGCCAGAGAGTCTGACATTGAACTGCACAAAGCACCGATACGCGGATGCTGATGCATATCTCATAATAATGACGCGACAGCCGAGTTTCGACGGCTTCTCTTCCGGCTAACCCACTGAGTGGAGCACTGAGTGGAGCCCTGAGTGGAGCAGGTCCCACACCGAGCCACCTTGGTCAGCAAACTGTCAAATTGGGTGTAATAATGGGGATAATTAGGGCGCCGACATGTGGCATGTGTGTATTTGCCACTGAACACTGTACTTTATTGGAGGTGAAAGCCCAGTTACATTTTGACTTTGACTTGGTGCAAATCAAACCAAAGAAAACCCAAACTTTTGCCACTAAATCAGTGCAAAACAGTGTCAACTACTAAACCGAAGACCCGCCTCAAAAGGCAAAACCATTTCCCCATCTGGCACCAATTTGTAGCCATTTGATTTGCATTTTTTAAACATAGAGAGCTTGGGAACAGTGTGCAGGGCGTCTTGGTTCCCCTGCATCACGAATTATCAAACATAAAATGTAAAACACATCGTCTTTCAGTAACATTCATAGATTTAATGGCACACACGAACTTGAAGAGTGACCCATTGACAGCTCTAAATGCTGTGCATATATATTTTATATATGTCAATAGTATTGATATAGTGATAAAAAACAATGGTGGAAGTAAGTCAAAACCCTGCTGAAAAGAAAACAATGCATTCCCATAATCACCACATCGAAAATCCACTTTGCCATTTAGCTATGCACATGCTTTTGCCTCATTAAGGCAATTTAAAAGTATTTCTCTCTGACTTTGGTTTTCTCCCATTTGGCTCGACTTCCGAACCGATTTTCGCCTTATTTTGACCAAGTCATTTGCCTTTTTTGCTGATGAACTTGAATTTTTCAAGTAAAAAAAAAACCTGCAATCGTATTTAGTTGAAAGACACGTGCCGCCAAGTTGTCAAGTACAAAGTTCGATTATTTGCGAGAAGCAAAATAAAAGGTTTAGCGATCTGCGGATTCGTTAATAGAAACTGGCACACGGCGAAGACAATGACGACGCATAGAACACAAGGCAGCGGAGGAATTAGATCGAGAGCCGAGATCGCGGAGACTAGACCACGGCTGCTCACTTCATCAAGGGGGTCAAAGTCAACTCAGCATTCGCCCAGTCATCAGCAGCAAAAAATCCGTGCCCTCGCCTGGCAGTCTGAACTCGACTAATAACCCCGATGCGGATTTCTAGTTCTCTGGGGCGATATTTATGGCTAGGCATTAGGGTGATGGCAACCGAATTGCCAAATCGCAATCAGCAGTCCCAAGCATACTTTTTGTGCCAAGAAACAAAATATTATATATGGCTTAATAAAAGTATCAGCAAACGCTCGTTTAGAAGTCTTTTTAGTTTTTTATTGTTTTGATTCGCTTATGTTTTGTGATAGATCTGCAATTATAATGTATACGGTGATATAATATCTTAGGCTCAAAACGCGCTCTCCTGCTGTCTGTGAGTAGGGATGTGGATTTGGTGGTGTATGGTGGTGTGGTTTAAGTAAAATCAGACCTCATTTAACGATTGAAAAGTATGATCATTACTCCATACAACCCTAACGATTCTAAACAGTAAATACTAGTGCCACATCTAATTGCACAACTTAAAAAGAAATTGCTTGGCTGGCTGTTTAAAAACGTTTATAGCAATGGTAACCCTGAGCGAAAGCCATCTCGCGATGACTTCTGGCTGATGTTTGCTTTCCGCCAATTTCATAAGCAAGCAGCTCTGCACTACCCGAAAGGTCAATAAACTTAGGATAACATTAAGTAGACGAATTGGAATTTTATAAATAATTGTACATATATTAATTACTCTACTGCAGATTTCATTCGACAATCAACTGTTTTTGCTAAGTTCTCTTTAGAATGATGTTCGATTTTGATGATAAATGCGCGTAACTTGTGTGTGCCTGGGTCTTGAATATAGTTCCATCGAATTTGTATAACAAGGTACAAATGCTCACCAAACGCTAAAAAGGTTGCATTGTAAAACTGCGCTAATTCGCGTAATATATATGTGAAATGTATGGGATTGTATGTGCTTTTACGATGATTGTTCCTTGGCATCCACTTCAGCATCTAAAAGGTTATTGGTTCGATGGGAACGGTGCACTCGCTGTACATGACCCGGTACATGGCCATTTCGGAGATGCCGTGGTAGTGCACGAAGGCAGCCGCGATGACCAGTATGTGGAATATCTGATGTGATTGACCCTGCAAAAAAAAAGAGCGTAAGCCAGGATCAACGGTTGGAAGTCTGGTAAAAACCTACCCAAATGTCAAACTTTCCAGGGAACCAGCGTTCGGGAACACGGAGGGCATACAGCAGGGCGCCAAGGATGTAGAGAAGGCCTTCGAAGCAAGCGGTAAAATTAATAAATAGGTATCTGAACAGCCAATCTAGCAACACTCACCCATGAGAATCAGCCAACCCAGACTGGCGCGGCTCATCTGGCTGAACCAGCCCTCCATGATGCTGTAGTGAACAGCTGGAATCACTCCGGACAGGCCAAAGCTCATGAACACGCCAGCGCGCAGTGGCCGAAGGCCCGGCTCCGAAAACTTGTCCCACAGCGAGACAACGATGGAGAGAACGCCCAGCACGCACACCACCGACAGATAGATCACCTTCGGCTGATAGTGACAATAGAAGCCATAGTACAGCCAAGGCACGAAGGAGCCCATGATCAGCAGCGCAATTCCACAGTAGTCGAGTCTAAGGGCAAACAAATGTTATTTAATACGAGTTCATCCATAATAGTGAGCAGTACGTACTTAGAAAACAGTCTTCCCATCTCTACGGAGTGACAGCTGAGTGTGTGAAAGGCGAATGAGAATCCCAGGCACACGATTGCCCCGATGAAGAAGGCTCCGAAGACGATCTTCTCCTGCGTTTGGATCTCAACCGAGGGACGCGATATGAAGTACGCAGCCACACCGATGAAGGCGATGCAGCCCAGCAGATGGGTCCAGATGTTGCCCGTTTCCGTGTGCACGCGGAAAATCGATTTGAAGCAAGCGCGGAACGAGGGCAGCGGTGGGCGGTGACCGCGGTGCAGGAAGTCGTTATCCTGCAGCCACTTGGGTAGATTTTTGTAGTGACACACCTTCCAGCTGGCCTCCCAGACCTGCCAAAAAGTAGAATACTCAATTAGTAAAGTGTTGAAGCAGGTTAATAGAAGAAGTGAATAATTAAGTAATAAGCCACCATTAAAAAAAAAAAAAGACTATCTTAACACTTAGACTATTTATTAAGATTTAATTAAATAACAAGTATCACTGAATATCACATCTTCAGACGATATCTTGCATATAGGCCATTCTCCTCTTGTCTGAAATTCTTCGCTTACCTTGCGCACAAACTCCTCGGCCTGCTCAGCGGCATTGTGGGCCAATGCGCCCAGATCAATTTCATCGGAAAGAACGCCAGCCTTCAGAACTTCCGTCATCTGTAGAAACGATTGATAAGACATTAAACTGGACTCGAACCGGATATGAAAAGCTTAGACTACGGAATGGAAAGGAAAACTAAAAGCGAGTGGGACTAACGACTTTTCTTTCAGCTTGCGCTTCCACTGTGTCCTCGTTCTGGATCCTGCTCACTTCTTGACTGACATCCGGCTCCAGATCCGGACTCACGCGCACTACAATCTCCGTCCGGGTCTGCATATTGAGCCGCTTACAGAGATTTGAACAGAACTAGAACACAGTATGCGAAAAAACGAGCGGTCGTACTTTGAAGCTTCTAACAGACGCATACTCAGTCGGAACAATTTGTTTAGACTTTGTTGGCGGAACAAGAAAGCACCGAATGCGTCCAGCGATAAGATAAGCCCGTTTCAAACTGTCTCTCTCCGAGCATTATCAGCACCGCATTCACATAGATTGCCTATTTTTCTAGCATCTGCCATTTAAAGGGCTTTGCCGTAGCGTTTTGTTTTTAATCTGAGCCTAACCTTTCAAACCGTTCAACAAAAAGTGCTGACAGGCCAAAGTATAATCCTTAAATCAAGGAATTATAATCAATAGCTTGCGTCTGGACAGAAAAGGCAAAGATAGATAAGGTTTTATTTTTTAATGGCTGTGGAATTGGCAACATATTGGGCAATGTTATTTAGTGAGTCATTAAGCAAGAGAAATGGCCAAGATAAGGCTTTACAGCTCTCCATGGTTATGGTACATTTAAATGTGGCAACTAGTCATTGGAGAAATGCAAAGACTTAATTGAAAACAATTCGACATTCAAATGACTGCCCGCACAGTCGGAAAAGTGCGAATAACAAGTGACTGCAGATAACCAAGTGACGGTGGGTCTGCGATAAGGTTTTCGCACATGTTTTAATGATTGTAAATTGTAATTTTCCACCTGGAAAAGCGCAAAAACCCCACTTACCTCTGCCTCGATAAGCTGTGTGTCCTCCGGGGTCGAGGGAAGGGGACAGCCGGCGTCGTCCTCGTCGCCCATCTCATCGTCATCGTCCAGAAGATCTAAATCGTTGGCGCTGAGAGAATCCTCTGGCCCCCCAACCGCGTCGCTTCCGCAGTATCATCTGCACCTGCTCGAAGATGTCCTCCTCGGAGCCTGAGCCTCGCAAAGTGGCCGTTGCGGTGGCTACTCCCTTGGCGACCGCATTTCCTTCCGCATCCATGCCAAAAGTGGCCCTAGCCTGGGTGGTCACCTCCACCTCGGCAGCTCCATGGCTCAAGTTGCCCGTCGAGCTGTGCCTCTCCAGAAGATTGGTGGCCGAGTCCATGGCGATTTGATAGGTTCTGCAATAAAATGCGTTCTGTTCAATACAACACGTTCGAATTTAGTTGCTTAGAGCAATGTGAAACTTTTGTTAGTACAACGCCAGCTTAACTGGGGAAATGTGATATTTATTTGTTTATTAGACTGCCCCGATCGCATGGGTATATAGTACGTCGCGACCTTTGGAGCGGTTGTATGTATGATACATGTCGGTATCTGGCTTCTATTGGCTGGTGTTGTTGTGGGTTTGATCGCTTGGCAATTAGCTGCCAATTAATGTTTTACATAAGATGGTGTTCAAATGAACAAAGGGTCTTAGTGGGTTAAGACGATCTTCTGGGAGACCTTTGTAGATAACACGATCCACTGAAGAACCTGTCACTAAGCCACGTGTAATGGGAGCACTGCTAACTGGTTTAACCGCGACCTGCACTTCACTTGCGCAGTTCACAGTTTTCCCAGAAGTTTTCACAGAGTGTCACAACACCACCAAAGGGTTAATCTCTCGATTTCACTGGCCCTTCGTCACCACTCACTTACCACTCGAAAGTCGAGCAACTGACGTTACTTCAACGACTGTTTCCAGAAGTGGACTCTTGCGCGGAAAACTATTGACTGCACTTAATTTAATTGGATTCAGTAGCAGTTTTTCATATGTTTTTCCTTAATTTTTTCTTTTCGGTGTGACCGTCTGCGCAAAAAGAAAAGTGACAGGCAGTCATATGTTACGATGCGGTTACATTCTCCGCAACAGCTGGTAACGGTGGATTTTCGTTAGCAGCTGAGTTAAGTAGTATGGCAACTCCTCAAAGAGGCGCCAAAATTTAAATGCTCTTTCCACAAAACTACTCTGCTCGCGGAAAACAAAGTGCTTTCATTATTGGATAAACATTAGGGCAGCTCACAACCTTTAAGTGGCGATCAAAGGTGATTATTTCGCTGATCAAACATGGGATATTTGCTCAACTACTTCACACACAATATACTTTTCATGAGAATTAGTCGACCGTGACGAAATTACAAGACGTAAGAACACAGCCTTTCTCTGTTAAGTTACTGAAAATGTCTAAAAGTTTTTTCAGGCTCTTCATTCCCTTAAACAAACAGAAAGTCCACTTAAAACTGGTAGTGAAACCCCATTGTATATTCCCGCGGGTTTAACCTACTTAAGTATGCACATATTTGCATTTCACTGTGTATATTTCCCAATGGCAAAAATCTCATCGCAGAGCACTTTAAATAGATATTGTCTAATATCATCCCAAAAGAACGAGTTGGTGTGAGATTTAAATAATAAATGCTAAAATTAAGAACTCAAACTTGGCACGTGTCTTATCTTTAAGCTAGTCTGGAGAAACTAAATAATAGGATTTAAAAAAAATCCGCTAATTTGTTTCGACAACTTTTTGTTCCAAACAGAATAATTAAATAGGACAGGTGAAATTTATACCATACAATATGATAATAAAATAAAATTAAGATAAAGTAAAAAATGATTCAATTATTTTATTTCGACTAGATTGCCTTTCAGGAAGTAAAGGCTGTAATAAAAATGTACTTCCCCGCCAAAAAGAATTAATCACTTTTTAATTGCTACCATATAAGACTTACTGCATAGTAAAACTAATAAATTAAGTATTTGTTTATGGCCATTCATGTTTGTTTCATGAACTCCATGGAAACTAAAGCAATACTTAAGAACTTGTTTTCATCTTTTTCCTCATGGGCACCGCATAGAGATGAGGCCCTACTGACGAATCCAGGCCAATACCATCAATCAGCCGGCGTTCTGGCCAGCTCCGTCGGTAACTCGGCCAAGGAGCAGATTTCGCACAGACCCCGACTAGCGGTATTAATCGACTGTATTAAAATAGTAGCGCTGAAGTTCAGGGTCAATATCACAAAAGAGAAACGCCGATAAACGCGCAGCTCGAATGACAAGCGCGCGATAACAAATGCAAAACGGCTTTTTGTTTTTGGCCCGCCATGTGGCTCGAATGGAAATGCTAAAGACCCGGAAGAGCGCCGACCAATACAGCTGCAGTGCATCGCATTTGGCAAACACTCCAATATTTGGGCGGGCACTTAGCACGTGGGTGGAGCCGGGTCACACAATTCTGGGATCTGGAAAAGTGCGTGAAATTTCCCATCGGCGGGACGGCTAATTGCTTCCCATTGCACCGAAAATGTGTTAACTATCCCCGTAAATCCCTATGTTTGCGTAAGTTAAGTAATTGGTCGTAATAGAGAGGGCGTGTCGCCTACATATTCATATATGTATGCTGCCCATCGAGTACGTCTCATTGACGTGACAGCGATAGTAAATCAATTGGCCAGCGGTTTATTTAATGCCGATTTGGTTGCTAGGAAGTACACGTAGAAAAATACCCGCGAAATCGGTCAGCAATTGTGTTTTATTTTATTAAATGCGCGTTTCATCTCCCCAAAGATTTCACAAGGTTAATTTTATTTTTGATCTTTTCTTTATATATATTTAACAAAGATTAATTCCCAGTAGATCAGGGCAAAATCTACAACTTTGCAACAGTGGCAGTCATTAAAGTGACACGAAAACAACTCAACCAAAGTTAACTGCCAAGGGTCAAAGCATATAATAATGTTACAGAAGTTATTGCATTATTAACTGAAGCCAAACTTAAAGCACCTGATTTTCTTCAAAATCCGTAAGAGTAACATGCCTGATGGCATTATCCCATAAATTGTTTTCAAAGTAAAGTTTAAGGTATGCTGCATGAAAAGCTAATTAGGTTTTCCCCATACACAAACGATTTTTCTTAAATCAGTTTCCGGATCGAAACGTAATTCTTTTCTCCCTCAAACCCCCATTAAATATTTTTGTATTCGCTGGAGAGTTCTTTATTTAAATAAGGCTCAAAGCAAGCTACAAAGTATTTGCCGTGTACCTTTTTGTTTCTCTGTTTGCTTTCGTTTTCTTTTTTCGCCGCTCTTTTTGCGATAGGATCTGCATGTTTTTTTGGCCAACCGGGAAAGGGTTAATAAACTTGTTCAAAATAAACCAAGAAAACCCACCGCGTAGCTGCTGCCGTTAGCAGTTTTGCTTTCTTTTCTCGCCACAGACATTCGCTTTAATTGCTTCAAACTTGACCTTAGCACCAGAAAACCAAAATCGGACAAGAAACCAAACCGAATATTTCTAAAACTAAAGAAAAAAAAATCGCGCAACTCAAATTGGCCATTAACGCGACTTCGACTTGCATCGCATCGAACCTGGCCAAGTGACGCAAAAAGTAGAAAAAGTTAAGTATACGCCGAGCGGGCCGAGCACCGACTGCGCTGCCGGCGCCGGCAGCGACGTCGCCGTTAACTGTTGGCCGGCCCGCGAAGCTCGTTCATTTTGTTTATTTATACAGCCGAGCGGGTAGAACTCCATATTAGTGTCTTCTTGGCGTTTGCCGCAGTCGAGTCCGAGTTTCGAGTCCGTATCTGAACCAGCGTCTTCAGGCTACGGTTGTGCGACAGTGTGTGTGTGCCAGTGAGTGTGTGTTTGTTGGCCAAGTTAGCAGGGAGTCCGCCGAACTCGAGAGCCCAAGAACCCGAGACCACGCAACAGGTACGGAAGTGATTTCAGTTTTTTGGGGCAGCCAGAACATGTGAAAGTGTTGCATAAATTAGAGAGCCGTTCTTGGCCAAAGTGGGACGCACTTCGCAGTGCTTCGCAGTAGCCTATCTAAGCCTGGCCAATTCTACTGCAACAGCAAGTGCCAGTGCCAGTGCCACTGCCACTGGTCCGTATGATTTTCTCGTCGACCTTAACCCAATGCATCGTACATAGATTAAATGCTGAAAACTGGCTTGAGGAGCTGCAATTTTGCCAGTCAGCCAAGGCCAAGACTCTGGCTGCAGCATTGAGGCGGCCAAAACTAAACGATTTGAACTTGTAATCGATTGCGATTCAATTGCAGCTGCATCGTCCGAACGGCCTTCCCAACCGCCCAGTAACAGCCAGCAGCACTTCTTTGCGAAGTCGACCACATTTCATGGTTAGGCAAACACATTCGGAGGTGGAGTTCCCACGAAGAGTCCACGGGCCACATCCGTTACAGTTTCTAACGAAAACAGAGACGCCGCGAGGGTTCGGGTTTTGGGCCAGGAAAAAATCCAATTAACGCCGCAAATATTTGCAGAGTAATTAAAGGTTGTCAGTCGGCCCAAAATGTCACCATCGCCAAACTATAACTTGCTGTGCACTGCGAAAATATAGATTTTGAACTAGGTTTCTGGAGATTTGAATTTCTTTTAGATTTTTTTTTATCTATTTTGAGATTTAGATAGGAAATACTTTTTTTTCTGAACATTGAGTATACACTGATTGATTTGTTTTCCTCAATTATTTGGTTACGTTTATTGCTTACTATAAAAAGATTTATAATCTTGTAAATCAAACATTTTGTTGTAAACTATTTTTTTCCGTGTGGGTTAAAGCTTTGGTTGTATATGTGGCGTTTCTGCGGTTTGCAAAGTGCTGACTGACTCGGCGTTTTGCTGCCTCTTCTGTAAATGCCTCGGATGGCAGAAAAAATTAATTTACAGCGCTAAGCAAGCATGAAACCATAAAACATGTGCACTTGACACAGGCAAAACTAAGTGATTAACCTGTTGGACTACATTGCGCCACGTCGGGAAAACAATGCACGGCCACCGGGAAAAAATCCGAAGAATTGTCGACCAAATGTCTTACCCTTTGCTCAGAACTCATGCGCTTTATGAGCCACCCGATTGCATCACAACACCACCTCCCCTTTTCAGCCCTCAGTGGGTTAATGTATTCGGGAATTTCACATGGCTAATTGTTGTCTCAAGTGCGTGTGAAAATCGTGCTGCGACGAATGTAATCTATAGAAAAACATCCGCCCCCTTTGGATTGCAATTTACACGAACAAATAGTTGTATAATGTTTGTGAGGCCTCAAAACAAACCAAAGTAATATCTAATGCAGATCAACAAAATATTCAGTAAACAAATAAATACTTTCAGAATAATAATTATCTAAAATCTTTAATACTACTTTCACAATAACGTAAAACTTATTACTCCCATTTGTAAGTTATAGTTTTTTTTTCGCTGTAGACACGTGGCGACATAGCACCAAAAATACCTTTGCCTTCTTGGCGCAATCTTGCAAAAACACAAACATGCAAAATCTGCAGCTTTTGCTGCGGCTTATGAACAACATTTAAATCGCAGTAGCAGATACAGATACATATAGACTCGCTCGCAGATGAAAGACTAATGCCCCATCGGCCTTCATTAGATTTCGAATTAGTGGCAAATTAAGTTGTTTTTACTTAGACCTTTTATTTTCAGAGGCAAAATCGTAAAAATTAACGCTTTTTTCGGTGCTTTTCCGCAACGCAGCAGACGGCCAGCGCTTTTGGGTATTTAGATACTTTTCGGGTTAGTCACAACATTTGAGATTATGGCCAAGTCGTGTCCGAGTGCTGGATAAACCCAGTTCCGAGTCTCGATTGCCGATTGCCGATTGTCGAGTGGTGAGTGCCAGGCATTGCCTGTCCGTTCTGATAATGCTGACAAGTCAGCTCTTAAAGGGTACAGAAATTGGCAAAAGCGAAAATCAATTATGCATACAGTACACATAATTTTAATGCGTACGCGGCAATATCTGGCCGAGCTTCTGCGTTTATTGTTAATGTATTTGAGGCGGAAGACTGCGGCTTAGAATCCAGCTAGCCAGTCAGCCAGCTAGCTAGCCAGTGGCCTTTGGGTGGCAGAAGGCGCTGGCTGGGGTTTCCCAAAAGGGGTCACCCTTCCCCTAAAGGGAGCGGGGGATCAACGTCAGCAGGCAGTCGGCGGAACACATTTTTGGTCGACTGCGATCATCATGATCGCAGCAGTGATGATGATGTCGACGTTGATGATGCGGCAGCCAGCTCACTTTTCCTGTCTCCAGTGTCAGTCAGTTTGGATGTCGAGTGCCTTGCATACGAATGGCTCTGGGAATGGCTATATCGCCAGCTGTACGGCTATATGGACATGGGAAGGCGATTCCGATTGCGATCGCAATGGCTGTAACCCTGACAGAGACCTAGTCTCAGACCTCAGTCTCAGTCGCAGTCCCATTCTGAGTCTCGTTCTCAGTCTCAGTCTTAGTTTCAGCAGTCTCAGTCGGTGTCGATCAGCACATATCAATCATACGCCGAGTGTGTCCAATTAGCGAGAGGGCCAGGTGTTTGTTCTGTTTGCTGTGTTCTTCGGCCAGGCTCTTGAAATCGAATTACACGCCATGTGATCCATGAAGAGCGCTGCAACCAGAAGAGAACAATCCCCCAGTCATCGGGGAATCATTACTGAGCAGGCCCTGTTGTCAAAGTACAGGCATAGGAATCGAAATTAGAGCCACCAGTTTGCCAAGTTCTAGTTTTGGATTGGACGGCGAGGCGCCCAACTGGATAGCAGCTAATTATACAGCCTAAACTGTATTAATTCGAGAATCTTCTGCCGAGCGAGTTCCGGTTCGAGTTGGCTAGGTCAGTGGTTAATGAGGAGGAGATCGCGCACTCGCTTTACATAAGAAACGGGTTCTGGCCTCAGTGTAATTGAATACATTTGGTGGCTCACCACCACCACCAATCAAACTCTTTCCGCGTGCAATTTAAATAGCAATTTAAATAGCAATTTAAATAACAATGTGAGGCAAGAACACGAGGACCGTCGTTCAGAACATAAAGCCGCCGTGTTTGCGCGATTTTATCTGAAGACGGCACACAGATGCCCAGAGATAGAAGCCAAGATGAATGCCAAAGTTGGTCCAACTTTAGTGCCAAGGCGAGAAATTCAAATGAAGCTCTTTTCAGGTTTCCAGCCACCGACTTGCGGTCGTGGTTTTGGCCAAGAATCGGCCGAAAGGCGGCTCCCAAAGACATCTTCGTTCGCCAATCGAATCGAGAGATATCGCGAGATATACACTCGACATTGGGTGCACCAGCCTGCTGTCGTCATTCATCATTCGATCGGGGATAACTCAATAGGCGATTTCTTCGCGCCTTTCATTAATAAATGTATGGCGTGCCCGCCACGAATTCCAATGCAAATCACGCTCCTCGGCGCGCCGAGCGAAAAAAGAACGTGCTGAGCCTCTCAAAGCGAGCTCGATTTAGAATAGCTTTTCATTCAATATTTCGGCAACGCGGCGTGCGGACGTCGGGCTCTGAATTCTGAATCTCGACTTTGGGCGAAAAATTTCTAAAGTCCGTAAACCCTCTTTCTCCCCCCAGTTGCCAATTGCAGAGCGAGGCAGCCGAAATGACGACCTACATGAAGATTGTCGAGGAGCGCATCTCCGGCCTGGCGAAAGGCGTTGGTGAGTTTCAGCACTTTGAATAAAATATTTTAAAATATATTTTAATTAAATACCCTTGCTATCCAGATGAGACGGTGGACAGCTGGTTCCTGATGAGCTCCCCTGGGCCCGTGGTGGCCGTGGTGCTGGTCTACCTGGCCTTCGTGCTCAAAATCGGACCCGAGTACATGAAGAACCGCAAGCCCATGGACCTCAAGCGCATCATGGTCTTCTACAACGCCTTCCAGGTCCTCTACTCCATTTGGATGTGCCGCACGGTGAGTCCATAAAACAAGCGATACCGAATTATGCATTATACAATATTAATAAGCTGGGCTTTGTTGAACATACGCAATCAGGAGATGGGTTTTATTTACGTAAAAATTCAGAACTTCAAATATTTCTTGTGCAGCTTTGCTAACAAAAGTTGTTTGGAATTCCCGACGTGCGTTTATATTTGGCAATTGGTTGACTATAAAACTCCGGAGTCGCGTGGCTTTTTAATGAGAAAACCGTTCTGGTTGTAAATCACATAAGCGTGAATGTCAAAGTCGAATAAAATCTAAAAATACGTAGTTGCCAAATTACCAATTCATACACACTTAAAAACCAAATAAAATCATTAAATTAATTTAATTAATTTAAATTTCATTACGATACCCGTTGACAATCCATACAGTTTCAATTGCAGAATGTTTTGAATTTAATTCGATTCTTCTTTCCGTAGTCCATCCAAGAGAGCAACGTGATGGCCTCGATCTTCTCGAAGAAGTGCGAGATCAACCGCACCAGGGAGCAGAACCTGACCCTCTACTCGGGCGCCTGGTTCTACTTCTTCTCGAAGATCATCGACCTGCTGGACACGACGTTCTTCGTGCTGCGCAAGAAGGACAACCAGGTGTCCTTCCTGCACGTCTACCACCACACGATCACGGTGCTCTTCTCCTGGGGCTACCTGAAGTACGCTCCCGGGGAGCAGGGCGTCATCATCGGCATCCTCAACTCGGGCGTGCACATCATCATGTACTTCTACTACATGGTGGCCGCCATGGGACCGCAGTACCAGAAGTACCTCTGGTGGAAGAAGTACATGACCAGCATCCAGCTGATCCAGTTCGTCCTCATCCTCGGCTACATGCTCGCCGTCGGCGCCAAGGGCTGCAACATGCCCAAGACCCTCACCTTCTTCTTCGTGGGCAACACGGTGATCTTCCTCTACCTGTTCGGCAACTTCTACCGCAAGACCTACAACAAGAAGAAGGCCATCGATGGCTCCGGCTCCGGTTCGGTCCGCTCCACTGGCAGCAGCCTGGCCCAGTCCGCCCTGCGTGCCGCCGGCGGCATGGGTTGCATGCCCCAGACGATGAACGCCGGCAAGCACGTCCTGCAGAACGGCCAGCCAGGAAAGGCCTACTTGGATCTGAACAACAACAGCGTGAAGCCGATGAAGCTGGAGTGAGAGTGGTGCCGGGATTCAGTTATCAGTTAGCAGATAGCAAAGTTAAAATTTAGCACTACGTTTTAGAGCGGGGCTTAGTCTAAGTAACTCTTAACTCTACCATTACCCCTAACCTTACCTTACCATACCTTACCTTACCTTACCTTACCTTACCATACACTATTGTAGTCCGTAGTCTGCGGAGAACCTTGTATAATGTTTATATGCCGGGCAGGCGACGATCCGAACCCAAAAAGTAGCTAGAACCCTAAGTGTTTGTTTGTGTGGCTGCGGCCAAGTCTGACTGAGTACGTGTTAATGTTTTTCTAGCTGATGTGTGCCTGTGTGTGCGAAAGTGTGATAGAGCTTCTTAATGAAATGCAGCCGTAAAGATTTCAATAAAACTTTGATTTTGTATATTTAATAAAAGCCAACCGCTGTCTCTGTTCTTCGCCGGCGAGATTCTGGTTTGGGGTTTGGGGTTCGGGGTTTTGAGTTTGGTTTGCCTGTTCCGGGGACTTTTGCTCTGCACGAGGCCTCTGGATTAGGTAACCGAACCGGATCCCATTGGATCCCATTATTTATGACAGCACTGCCGGCTCAAACTGGCCACGCGCTCCATCCGCCAAGAGAAAATTATGCAGATCTGCAGGCCATCGTCAGATATTCGGCGGCCATAAAACGTGATTAATACCTGTCGTTTCTTTGAGCGCTGAGATAATGCCACTTTTTTGGCACTACGTTAACGGGTCTGTTCTTAAAACGGATTTACATTTCAAAGAAAATATGTAGTATAAAAAAGTATTTATAAAACTCAAATACAAAATATATTCAACTGCAAATGCAAATTGTCTGTTTCCTAATTTAAATAATAATAAAATGGTCAAGTAGGTCGCTCAAGCGATGGTTATAAGATATTGCTTAATTAAAATGCACTTTTTTTCTGAGTGTGGAACTTGGTACGCGTGCTGGCCGGATTATGCAATCTTCTGGCCAACGACCAGTTCTCCGGCCCGACTTAGACAACCTGGCGACGATTGGGAGAATGTCTTTGCCAAATTAGAATTTCTAATCAGTTTCTTCCCCTTCGCCTTGACTCACACAGATGTCCAGCATCACGTAGCCCCTTTATTTATGCAAAACTCGAATAAAAGCCTCGTTTTGTTTGTGAATCTAGAGTCAAAGTTCAAGGGCCTGATAAAGAGTTTGATATTCATCATAAGGCTTCTGCGGTAGGCGTGTATTTCAAGCTGCGCCATGAGTTTCACAAAATTTGCATAGGTCAAACTCTTCTAACCCCAACGCTAAAACTGCCTGAAAGTATGCTCTCAAATTGAGTTATGGAAATTTTTGTGAAGTTTCACAGCTAATGGAGCTGCAGGTTCTGTTCTTCTTCGTCTTTCGGTATATGGCTGATCGAATCTGTGGCGATCAGGCCATAAAACTGGAATAATATTGGCATAAACCCCAGCTCCGGTTGGCCAAGATGAAAAGCGAGCTTGGCTCAGAGGTTTGCTTTGTTTCTCGTGTTTTGTGGTCAAGATCAAGGTCGAGTGTCCAAAACCGGCTCCACTGAATACTGTATCCGCAACCCCACTTGAAGATGCGTTTTCACTTCCGCTTCGGTTCCGTTTTGACTGATCGATCAATAAAAGGTTGTGGAATTTATCAAATCTTATCTCGGCCGCCTTTCAAGGTGCCTGCGAAATGAGCTCTAATGAGTGTTCGAGTCGTGTTCCCAGAGTCTCGTAAAAATTCATGAACTGGACATGCTGCATCACCCCACAGACCAGTTCTAGCCACGCCCATTCATATTCAAATCATTGGATTACGAACTACGGATGTCTTCTCTTCCGCTCTCCAATGAAAAGAACAGATTGGTCGTTATATATATTAGCTGGTGCTTCGATTTAAGTCGGTTCCTTGAGAGAAGGTTCCCTCGAGCGATTTATCAAAGGTTAACTGAAACCATGAATGGCTAAGGATGATTGGGCTTGGGTGCGGTTCCTCTTGCGGAGATTCCCCGATGGTATCTTCAGACAAAAACCATTAAAGTGTCATGTCGCTATAAATAAACATTTATGATTACAGGAAGTGGTTTTATCTGCAATAATTTCAAGGCCAACATACGATTTACTCGTACTCGTGGAATTTTTTCATTCAAAAAGAGTTATAATATTAGAATTAATGGAAGTATTCCGAATCGCATCACTTAATTATGCAAATTATTTTAAGAGCAATTAAACAAATCTGTTGATGGCTCTTTGGTATTAGGTTTCAACCAACTGAATATTTTTATCAGTTTTTTATTTCTTTCCCATTCATCCAACAAAGAATAACTGCCATTGTGGTTTGTTTTCGATATTTTTGTAGAAAAAATTCTAGATTTATTTGTAAAATGTGTTTGTGTTTATGGGTTTGCTATTCGCTAGTTTTTCACTTGTCTTGCTTAATGCCTACTTTACATACCACACGTACGAGTATATAAAATCTAAAGAAAACACATTCGCATGCGTACCTACACTTATTTACACAACTAACGCTTCATCTGCCTGTTTACTTAACTTAGTTCAGTTTGGCCGAAAGACATACGACTTCTTTCATTTGGTCCGCCAGATGCGAAGATCAAACGGAGCGAGCGATGATGATGACGACGGCTGCCAAAGCCATAACCGAATGTTCGAAATGTTTGAGCATTTACATAACACGTGTATCCGTGTCTCCAAAACCTCGCTCGCCCGAATATTGTGTCCAAGTATCCACATTCGTTCCGTTTCTCAGTTTCCCAACTTGCGTGCCAAACGTCTTTTTTTGGCGGCGGATTGCTTAAGAAATTAGTCAACAAGGTTGCACATAGAACATGGGTGGCTCTCAGTGGGTTCGTCCCGCTTTGTACGAGTATTGAAGGGGCTTTTTGTGGGTGTTTTTTGGGGTGGGGGAGTGGGTGGTGCGGGGTGCGGGTGGGTGAGGTTTGGCGGTGGGTGCTTCCAGCCTACAAGGCCTTCTGCTTCTGCTTCAGCTTCTCCTGCAGCTCGACTGCCTTGTTGAGGTCCTTGGCGCATCCATCATTGTTGTTGTCCGCCGACAGAGCCTCGGCCTTGGCAGCCGCCTGCTTCTTCTTGTAGGACTTCTGGTAGAAGTCGTTGAACAGGAAGTAGAAGAACACGGCGTTGGGCAGGGTGAAGCACACCGACCACCGCGGGTAGCCGCAATCCGTGTAGAGCAGCTGGGTCTGGTGGATGAAGGCGCAGCAGAACTGGATCTGTGGGATAAGGATAAAGTTGGTAGGTTAGTTAAGGATTCTCAGAGGAATTTGTTAAAAGAATTCAACATTGGTATTTACACCCTTCATTTCAAGCTCTTCCAAACTCTAAGACATTGAATTGTAATGTATTGTTAATCAATATTGTAGTATTCGAAATACTTTCATCATATATTAATATAACTAAATAAAGTTCTTGTCTGTATTACATTTAAACATATTCAAATTTACTTGAGACTAAGTAGCAAAAGAATTTACCAGCTCATAATGAATCCAAATAATAATTACAATCCTGATGAGCTCTTTAATTGAGTACTAACACTCCCGTAACTACGGAGTAGTAAACCCTTTCTAACCCTTTAGAAACACTCTCTCGATCATATCTTGATCTTGAATAGTAGAACTCACCATCTGCAGGTTGGTGATGTACTTCTTCCACCAGAGGTACTTCTGCATCTGGGGCCCGAAGGCGGAGAGGAAGTAGTAGGAGTACATGATGATGTGCACGAACGAGTTGATCCAGCCGATGAAGGTGCCGTGGCCGCCGGGGTAGTACTTGCTGGTGCCCCAGCTGATCATGGGCATCACGGTGTGGTGGTAGACGTGCAGGAAGGTCACCTGCCGGTCGTTCTTGCGCAGCACGAAGAAGATCGTGTCGAGGAGCTCGGTGATCTTGGCCAGGTAGTAGACGTACACCACCCGGGCCTCCCTGTAGGCTTTGGGGGTGCGGGACCAATCGACTGGCTGGCACCGCCAGCTGTAGTACTGCCAGATGACGACGCCCTCGTAGACCATCCACACACTGAGCGCCACTTGGAAGAAGTTGTAGACGAGCAGGGTGCGCTCCAGCTTGAAGGGCTTGCGGTCGCGCATGAAGCGCGGTCCCCAGGACAGGACGAAGAACAGGTAAAAGGCCAGGATGCCCAGCAGTGGGAGTGGTGACTTGATCAGGAACCAGTCATTGGTGCGGGGATCTTTGGGATATCAGCTTCGTTAGATTCCGGAATCAGTGATCGAAAGGTAAACCCCACTCACCTGCCAGATCGGTGAACAGAAAGTTCCAATAGTCCACCTTCGTTGCGTTGACGGCTGCCATTTTCAAACTCTCGGTTGGCCTCTTGCTTCCACAAATACGATTCTAGAACCAATTCCTCGATCGCTTCGGTGTGAAAAGAAATTCAAAAATCTGCTAAGCCTGCGTCGCAACGAACGAGTTTTGCGAAATCTAAAAAGGGGAAAGATCGGAAGGGAAGAGTCTGGATGAGCGAAAGAGCCATCGGGTTTCGTCTTTAAGTTATGTTAATGCGATTCTCGGGCAGTTAGCCGGCTACTTGGAGCTGAGGCTGGAACTCCTATCTAAGAGTAAGCTCTGTTGCCGAGCCACGAAATATAAATAAAATTAAAATAATAATAATCAAATGCGGAGGAGAACAGCTGGTGTGACGGAGATGGTGAAGTGCCGTGAAATTATCATGTAACAGTAACAGTAAATTATATTCATTATTATGAATTAAACAACCGCGGCGCACAACAGCCCGCAGCAAATTGGTGGCCAACTCAGTTGGCCCAGTTGGTTGGTGTTGGGTTGGGTTGCCTCACCTCCCGGCCAAATTGGGTGGCGGTGGCTCACGTGTGGAATGCGTAGCAATCCCACTCGCAAACGCCGTGGAAATCCCATTCGAGATGAGTTTGTTTTGTTTGTTTGCGTTTGCAACTCAACAGAAGCCCAGCAGCCAGAAGTCTTGACTCGGAGTGACTCGAAGTGAAGTGCTCCCGGTGATTAATCATCCCGGAGAACCGTCTTCGGAGGACCATTAGCGCTCCATCGAGCATTGAGCACCTAGCACCAAGCACCTATGCCAAATTCCAGCATCGTGATTCGACGTCTTGAAGTCTCACACTTGAACTTGGCGAAGGCGAATGGCGAATGCCTAATACCTAATGCCGATTAAGACCACAATAATCGAATAGCATTATGATTTCTTTCGTCGTTTTCGAGGCTATTCTGATCGGCTTCTTGGTCCGCCGTGAGGTGTAGAGTGTGGATTGTGGAGTGCTGAGTGTGCGAAGTGGGGAGCAAATTGGACCCATAAACGAGTGAACAGAAACGGTTTGAAGGGCAAGTTGGCCAACACTCCAGCTATCAGCCGTCAACAGGTTTGGCTGGCTCTCCAGCTGGCTCATTTCCTGGCTGATTTGGCTGTTTGAATATTGTCTGCAACACTTGGCGCAGAATGGGACCACAAAATGTTGGGGCGGGCGACAAATAGCAGCAATCGACCGAAAGGTGCTAAACGCTTTTGTCGGCCGCTCAGATACTGAGATGATGGCTTTCGGCCAAGAGAATCCAGTTTATCAATTTTCAGTCGTCTATGCGACCTTGTCTGTGTTTTCGGCCTGGAATGGGTGGGAATGGCGATCTTGGACGCCGTCGTGTCTGGCTGATCATCGCCAGACTCGGACTCGGAGCCATTTCCACTTGGTTAGTCACTTGTCAAATGGCCGCAGATCGCGGGCCTTGGGAACGCCCAGAGCGAGCAAATAGAAAATTGTGTCACCTATTGCCCAACTGTCGAAGACGCAGACCAGAGTCCGCGGGCGGTTTGTTTTGCCAAATTGAGTTATGTGGCAAGGTTTAACGACCTTGACGGAGATCTTAATTGGCCATATAAGGCACTGGTTCTATGCCAAAAAACACGGGTGTTCTAAGCTGGACTTTGATACTTAATAAATTAGCAAAAGACTTGAAATGTTAAAAGTCACTTCCTAGTGAATCTAATATTATGAAAGCAAATTTTGATTTGTTGTATTGATTCTATTCCAAATAAGTCCTTCTTCCTTACTTATAAACGTATTGATCTTCTTTCTCACAATCTCACAATAATATGACTTTTATAATTAAGTAAATATCAATAAAATTTTTATAGAAATCTAAGAGTATTTAACTGGTCTAGAACTTCACTTTAGTTTATTAATTTCAGCTTGATCTAATCTTCGGCAAGGTTCTTTATCTGATAGATAAAATAGCTCTGCAAAATGCACTCCTCCTATGCCGTATTCCAAGTGGGACTGAGTTAGCGTAGGTTAGCACAGATTCTATAGGCCCTTCTCGACCGATTGATCTGGTCGATCACTCCGATCTGCAGACACACACTCGCACACACAATGAAGAGCTCGGCACCTGTTGCAATCTCTGCGATTGCCGTGCACTTAATTTTCAACGGCGACAGCGAGACAACGCTTAATGTTAACACCGTGACAACTGTTTTTCAGCTCGTTCCATCCGCTTCTTACGATACAAGGCACTATTTGTCGGTTATAGTTATAGTATAGTATAGTCTAGTATAGGATGGCTGGTAGTTGGGGAGGGAGAGACCTTTGCTGGCATCCGCTACACACGAGACTTGTACGCGCACTGAACTGCTCCGCCGAGTTGTACGGAGCTATGTATAAAAATTTCGTCTAAAGGTTTTCGATTTGGCGCTGCTGTTTCTTCGTCTCTGCCATCCGATTTGTTTTTGTTTCAGTTTCAGTTTCTGTTTCAGCCTTAGTTTGTGTTTGTGCTTAAGATTCAGATTCAGTTTTTGTTTAGCCGAACTTTTGTCTCGGCTATTTGGCATCTTGCTCATCTTCATCTTCATCTTCGACTTTGCTCGAGATGTTCTTTTGTGGCTTGTGGATCTTTCAGATTCGTACATACATGCTATATGCTATATGCTATATGCCATAAGCAAGGTATCGATCGATCGGATCGCCTGGTCTCGTTTCCTATGATAATTGCGATGACAATGTTCAGGTTGAGTTGTGTGCGTTTCGCCGGCTCTTTGTTGCTGCTCGCCAAATTCGCGGGGATTTAATTCGTTTTGTATTTGGCTGTGCAGCCTTTTGTACAATTAAAAGAACCATCAAATATTCCTCAATAGTTGTCACTTTTGATCGATTTGGCCAAAGCGATTGCGGCAGAACTTTGAGCATGCGGGTTCAGGTTCTACAGAAAGAATAGCAAAAGTATCAAAATAACATTTTAACTGGTAAAATTAGCATAAAAAAACATTTTAAGTATTCCTCTTCGAAGCTTTCTAATACATTTACATTCGTAAAAACTAAAAGAAACTAAGAACAAATAGAGAATCATTAGTCATCATTTTTAAGAAGTTTCTTTAGGTATATGAAAAGGTTTAGATAATTCATAATATTCGAATATAAGAGTTTTGTTTATTAATAACCTCTGAAATAAAAAATCTGAAAGAGAGAATAAAGAGAGAAATATTCTTTATATACATTTAGCCTAATGATACTTTCATTTTCGCTCAATCAATTGCTTTTCAAACACCCTTAAGTAATTATTGGGTGTTCTCTCTGTTTTTTTCGGTTCCTCTGGGGATTTCATCATTAGCCAGACACGAAAACAAACCCTACAAATACTATTCAATAACCTCAGAATGAAATGTTCGTTCTACTTTGTTTTCGCTTTCTGGTAATTCTCCCTTTACAGCTTCTTCCGAACCACTCGACCAACCTTGACCCACTTAGAATACATTTTTACGCATCATCTCCAGCTTATAACGAATCTAGAACTAAACTGAAAAGGCGCAGATCTTTTATCATTTCATTGACCTTTTTTGGGACCAGTCAGCAAAATTTTCCTATTGCAGAAATGTTTAAAACAAGCCTCAAACATCGCCATTAAACCCTATTAAGCGCAATGATTTAGAGCCACAAATATTTGAGTTTTCCAAGGAGACTGCGTATTTACCGGGCATTTTGCATACAAATTCTTGGGGCCTAGGGCTCGGATTCTAACGACCCACAAATCGGAGATCGGAGCGGATCGATTGCGGCCCACTTCCGGGTCAAGTCGAAGAAGCGACCTGCTGCCTAATGAAACCGATCCAAAAGCCAGCTACTTATTGGCCAAGACTGCGGGCCAAGTCTGAAGCGAAAAGCCAAACGGAGGCTGAGGCTGAGGCTGTGGGGCTGGGGTCATTCAAGAGTTAACTGTGTCACCGGCGAATTGAACTTGAACTTGCCAATTAACTTATGCGTATCGCCAACCAGTTCGAGTTCGATTCGTATTTCACTGTATAAGATGTGGGTGAATGTCGACCGGGCGGACGACCCATCGAATTGGCGAACGGCGGGTGAATCCCTTCGGCTGCCAGGAATCAATCATACGCCGTGTGCGCCGCCATCGGATTCATCGGACTCTTCCGGTCTGTCGGCCAATTTGCATGCGCCATTGTTCGTCCAGCAGCCATCAGCCATATAGCAGATCGTAATGGTATGCAAAAGACGCTGGCTTATTATCACCGCCGCTGCAGACGCGATTCATGCGATCGAGTTCGATATAGATGAGGGGTGACTGCCAGTTATGCAAATACCTTCCGCAAACATTTACATTTGGCCAACAGCCAAACTGCGAACTGGCGAACAAACCGTTAAACAATTATTATTGAATGTGTTTGCATATCCGAGCCGAATTGCGTGGACAAACCACTGTCACACGAACAATCGAAAATCTTCTTTGCTTGTCGAGTTCCTAATTGGCGATGGGACACGACATTATAAAGTAATTATAGATATTTGTAGTTTTCGCAGTGTTCAAGGGCGCCAAACAGTTTTATCACTGATTTCCGAAGTCTGCAGAGCATATGTATTAAGTACTTTTTATTAGCCTTCCTACAGCATTTTCCTAGTCGTAAGATTGTTAACAGCAATGGCAAATGAGGCTCTTAAATGTTTAATTGGCCGCATTAAAAATGTTTGCGGTCCGCCGGCCTGGAATTCCGAGCTTGGCTTTTTCACACGCTGCTGGCGGCATCTAGAGTTCGAGTTTCAAAAGCTTGGCTTAAAGCTTAAAATCAGTTAAGAGTTGCCAGCCCACTGGAAAAGTATAGGTTTAAATAGTTAGCCGTTGATTAAGAGCCAAGCTGAAAACAGAATATCACATTAGATGAGGGAAACTGAGCTACCATAGAAATAATAAAATGAAGGGAAAATACTACATATTTTTGGATGTACTATATAGCTGATTTGAATTGAATCGGACTAACTAGTTCTAGTTCTTTTATATTCTTAAGTTCTAACTGCAAGGGTACATAAGCTTCGTTTCCTCAAAGGTAGCTTTCTTCTTGACTTTATAGAGGCTTTGGGCTAATAGTCGCTGGTGATTAATGTTTACTTTAGGGGTTCCCCAGCTTTCAACATGGCCAAAAAAATAGTGGATCAATGGCAGATTTAAAGATCAAGACATCCACTTCAGATCATGAATATCAAAAGACGTTATGACACCTTATAAATGTGAAAAAAATATACATTACCAAAACTATAACCATGAACAGTATTTATATTTATTTATTAATATTTATTTTGAAGTACGTAAACTCCCTAATTATTGTAGAGTATTTCTACGCGTACACGTGACTTAATTAAAGTCCAAACAAGGCATATCATTAGAAGCCACCTAGCTAATAAGCTGTTCCGATTAACGGCTTACTGATTACCGATTACGGATTACATGACAGGTGGCACCGACTTCGCTGTAACAGGGTCGTTGCTCTACGGCCACTCATCAAAATCAAAAGTGGCTCGTTGCTGGTTAGCCGCGTTAATTGCGCAAATCGAACTCGTTTGCCAGCGCGGAAATGCCGGGCTGTGCCAAAGTTACTTCTAGCGGGTCTCTCGCGAACTCTCCACCTCCGATCGATCGAATTTTGGAGTCGCAGCTGGCCAATGGCCAACTATCAACTACCAACTACCGTTGGCTTGCCCTTGGCAGGAACTCGTTTCGAGCGATAGATCGAGAGAAAAACAAAAAGATTAATATGTGGAGAAAAAGAAATCGCACTTCCGTTTCCTGATCGATCAGATCGATCGGAGCAGCGGCTACAACAGCAGAAAATGCCTAAGAAGCTTAATGGATTCGCTGGCGCAGAGCGGTTTTCATTTAAATGCATAATTATAAATTTTAGTCTCGATATTTTCTGCCAGCTCTCGAACAGTGATTTTTTCGCGCTCGACAAGTGTGTCAAGTTCAAAGTGAACTTTTAATGGCTAATTGAGTGACGAGGATCTATTCTTGGACCAGCTCGCTCTTAGCCATATTCAAAATTAAGTATCGCAGAGCGCTCAAGTTCAACACTCGGCATGTGGAGTCATGTGGGTTTTGCCAAGAACCTTACCATTTGCCGCCGTCTTGCCTCATAAACCAGAAAATAAAATGCCAAGAGCTTGTTTGGGTTTATGTGTTCAAGAAGATATTTCGGGGTACCTTCTTCATTGACCGAAGTTTGTTTGGTTTGTTTCGCTGTAACTGAGCACACGTTTGACCAATTGATTAGCAGCCTTAGCGGCAGTCGGCCTCTAAATTTAGTTGGCTTATGTTCAGTGAAGGATTCAAGGGGGTCGAGTACCCCCTTAAAAATATACTTATTAAGAATATAAAAAGAATTTGGGTAAATGTATTTTAATGTCTTAATTATTATATAAATATTTGTTTTATAATTAGAAATAATACATTATAGCAGTTCTTTAAATAAGAAATATATGTATTCAAACTCCCTCTAAATTTTCTTAGACTGCCTCTGGCCAAATTAGCCGGCGTGACCATCGAACGTGCCATCTTTTCGGCTCACCAGTTCTCTCTGGCCATTGCCCAACTGAATCTGGGCAGGCAACTTCTGGGTTTGCCCATTCAATTAGGGCCAAAAGTGGTGTTTGCCCGGCAAAAGTCTTCGTAGCGCAAACGCGATCGCATATTGAGCTTGAAATTCCGAATGATATAAATATGCTTAAATGCTTATTACTTGTCTCTTGTCTGTTGTCTTTTTTTTCGAGCGGAGCAAGGTCAGGGCGTGCTCGCTTTTCTGCACCAAATTGCAACGCAATTAAGACTAAGTACTATAGATGGCCAGATCGGCAGATAAACCCGCGCAGACTGGGTTGACATGAAACATTTAGCAATCCGAAATCCAATAGCAGCGATTGCGAAACTCCGCTCAGAAAGGCTGGTACTTTAATGGAAAGCCTCAACGAGCGGCTGTAACAGTTTAATTGGTAATTGCTGTTTACAGCTCCGATAATCAGGGGGCTGAACCGCCGCCAGCCTTTCGAAAATATTCCGTTATCAATTAGAGAACGCCGGCGGTCAGCGGTCAGCGGTCAATTTGCGAACCGAAGCGTTCTGAAACGCTCCAAAAACGTCCATGATCCAGGGTGTTAACACCCACACCTTATTCGATTCGGCGCTAATTAATTCATGATTGTTAATTATTCGCTACATACACTTGCTAATCGAAGTTTCTGCATACTCACTCTGTGCGCAGGCAATATTTCTTCGACTGGAATTCGCTCGGCAATAAATTAGCTAATCGCTAGAGCAAATATTATGGAATGGAATGTTACCTAATCGTTGCGGAAAACCAAATAAAACTCGGTAAACATTTGTAGAACTAAATCAAAACAAACAAAAGAACGTTACAAATATTCCAGAATATTTAAAAAAAACATTTATTTATAGTATAGTATATCTATTAAGGTTTGTAGTCATTGGAATTTAATTACAATTTGCAAACAGTAAGAGAAAATACTACCTTTTTATAATTACTTTATTAGCTAGTGACTACCTCTAACGGCTGAAATATGGAATTCTTGTCAACACCAGGGCCATTAATCAGGCGAATAATAAGCGACAAACATTTAGCATTTGCCATAATGAACATATTGAAAACATATTGGCTCTGATGGAGCCAAAGCTGTTTCGCCAATGGCAAAATCTCACATTGATGGAACGAAAATTCGCGAAGAGACGCTGAAGACGAAGAAGAAGAGGAGGGAGAAGAAGAAGCAGTAGAAGAAAAAGCGACTCACAAAATCACAACAAAACTGGAGCTATCAAAGCAGGCATTTATCATCGAAATCTTGGTCCGGTTGGCTGGCGGCGTTGCCTTCTTTGACTTCTCCGACTTCCGATTAACCTAGACCTAGGCCGTGAAATGCCGAGGGGCTGTTGGCTGTTACCAACTCATCATCCACGTTTAGGAGCCGGCGAAAAAGAAAACGAAACCGAATCCAAATCCAAATCCGAACATCAAACTGAAACTGAAACTGAGAGTGTAGTGTGACCAATCCGCATTCAACCGTTAGCGGTGGCAGTGCGGCAGTGGCTGTGGAAAACGTCATCCTTGCCGGCTTCGGCCCCAAACATGGCCAAAATAATCAAGCCAAAGGTCGAACCGGCCGGGCTGAACTTCAAAGAACAATTTACTCGGCGTTAATTTGTCACAAAACGCAGGTGGTTCTGTATGGATCTCAATGGCCACAATTAAGACGAAGGCTTCGCCGCACGTCCGATAGTTTGCCCAGCTTAACGACCCCTGGCCCACTGCCTCTCGCCTTGATTCCGATAGATTTCTGCACGTGTCGCCAGATTGCCCGATTGCCGAATTGATTATGGATCTGAGGCCATTGCGCGTGGCCACCTTGGCACGTATTCTTATCAGAATCCAGCCCCCCGGGATGCTGACCAATGCTGACGTAAAGTGACTTAGAACCTACTTAGCATATCGACCAGCCCCGAATCAACACCTCCAGGGCCGAGAACGAGAACAGGTTATTCTGCTTGTAAGCATGAATGGGGTTTACAAAAACCCTCGTCATCCGAATAAACACCGCCTGAGGTCACCGAAGACAATCCGGAAGTCCAGGAATCAACATAGCTGAAGCTAAGGCAAAAGCCTTTGCTGTTTATTGTCGCAAAGTAAGGCACATACGCATTAAAGATGCCATTAAAAACTTGTTTTAATTGTACGTGCTTCGTACTGCGGACAACTCGTTTGGCTCCTTAGAAAACGAAAATAAAAGTGTGCGAATTACAATCTTCTGAGAAATGGTCTTCATTAAAAGGTGCCTTGGGGTGTAATGCGAAATGGGAGTCCCCATGGATTAAATAGGCGAACTACTTGACAGTAATAAGGGTCGTTTGATTGGGTTCAAATTAATCAATTTCTGGTTCTTACGACCTATAAAACTCGTCATAAGAATACTATACGCTTTAGAACGCAATTTTACTATTAAATTTTATTGCTGCATTATTCTGGTTTCATTGTGCATTTAGAAAAGAAAAGAGAACCTGTTCTTATTCAATAAATATTATAAAGCTTTAAAACTAACCATCTAATATCTTTTTTTATTTGCAAGGACAAAGTTTATTTTGAAGCCAAAAACTACTATAAGAATTTTCTAGAAATTGGAAATTTACAGCTAAAGCGGCTTATTAAATAAAGACTAATTAGTGTTCAACATAGCGGAACATGAATATCACTAAGTACTAAGTACTCTTAGACTCATTAAAACACAACTAATCAAAAGTCGTTGCCAATAATCAGGCATTTATAGAAATCCGTAAATAAGAGTAAACATTTTCTATATTTATTCTTTCCAAACTTGAACTCTTTATTTAGAATGAAAACGAAAGATAGAAAACCGATGATTACCATCTGCAATCGGTGTGATGAACTAAGCCACATCTCAGTGCATTGACCTATAAAAAAGCGAATTTACCTGCTCAAACAACCGGCAGCAGCATAAACTTTGGGTCTTGAATGCCAAACGGAACATGCTAAAAATCGAAAAAAAAAAAACCAAAAGCTACTTAGTGGGCCAAGCACACACTCACGCACACACACATTCGCAGGGGGTTTGTGGCTAACACAGACACTGAAAAGTGCATGCAGTGCGGCGCCGAAACTGAACGAAACTTCCGTTGTTCTATGGCTTTATTCGGGGTTCGTTGGGTTTCCGAAGTCGGGCTTTATCGGCAGCTAGTAGTTGTGGCGGCGCAAGTAAGTATTTTGCACAAGCACAAGCGTGATCGGAGCTCTGCCGGCGCCGCTGCCGCTGCTCTGCTCGGCTGGCGCTGCGAAAAAGTTACTTTATCTTGTGATTGCCGAGAAGTTTTAGATTCAGTTGAGCATAAACATTCCTACGGTGTGGTGGCAGAATCCAGCCAAGTCTGCGCGAATCTAAATCTAAACTTAGCCAAGCCATTGAGCAATCCAGCGAGTCGAAAGTGCATTTTTTCGAGCGTGTTCTGCAAACGAGGAGACTATAAAGTGATTTTACGGGCCTGAGCGCAGCATGCGAAATCCTGCGGCGAGCCTCTGACCAAAATAACTCAAAAGAAAAACCCCGCGCCAGCGAGCCCAGAGTCTTGGATACCCCCTACAGCTGGTTCAGAACCCCAGGAGCCGGAGCCACCGATAGCACCATGAGCTACCACAACTACAACGTGACCACCCGGTTCGACATGGTCGTGGAGATAGCCAACATCGCGCTGGACGAGTTCAAGACGCACCACATAACGCGCAACTACACGGGACTCGTCCAGCGGTACTACCAGCTGGTGGAGGCCGACTTCGGCGGTAGGTGTCAAGTGCGGCGGTGCATCAGCCCACCGGATTAAAAGTCCATTTAAATGACGAATTGCCATGAAATTGCCATCTTTTATGGCATGCAAATCGTAACAGAAACAGAGACGTAAATGCCAAGCCAACAAACATAACAAACGCTAAACAGCCAGCAAAAAATCTCGAAAAAGAAATGAAAAAACAGTAAGCAGCTGGCAGACAAAGCCAAAACGCCGAGCCAAAAACTTCTAGGACAATTAAAAAAGGTTTTGTCTTTTGAGTGTGCGAGTGTGTATTTGAGTGTGTGTATGTGAGTGCGCGTATTAAATGGAGACCTTGGCAGTGTCAATTGTATTTTTGACAATTATTAACGTAATTAAAATGTATTTACATTGCTTATCTTAGACATTTTTATGAAGCGACCGTCGACATCGACGACTTTGGTTTCGCCGTGTGCAGCTGAGCATGTATTTATTAGCCGGAGCACTTCGAACATGCCAATTGCCCTAGGGGTTCGGAGCTCGGTGTTCCGTTTGCCCCATATTCGCATTCCTGGCAATGAGAAAAGTCACCGGTGAAGGGTCAATGGCAGAAGCAATTAAAGGCGGAGCAAGTAGTGTTTATATTTGGCTGAGTGATGTTAAACCTAGCTAAAGGAGATTAAAATGTGCAAAAACACGATTACGATGCAAAAACTTTCGGAGCTACGCGAAATAAACAAAAGACTTAGGACACGAACTTGAAAGTAAACAAATTTGGGAACAGCAAACAAAAGACTTAGGAAACGAACTCGAAAATTCCAGAAACTTGAAAACTTAATGTAGCGTAGGGCAGTAAACATGTATTTAAATATTTAAGTTGAGGACTCCAAATCGTTTTCCTTGCTCTGAACCTCTAATATTCTAATTAAAGGCATTAAAAGGTATTAAAGTTGTATAGTTAATAGCTAGAGCCACTAACCACACGGGTTACCGCGCACAACAGGTCAAGAATTCCCGGCATAAAATGTGGTGCACAGCTTCCAATGGAATATTTGCAGTAAACGTAAACAACAATTCGATTGAGATGTTTTCGAACTGGAAGATAAATCATAACGACATCTCGATTCGATTAGTGTAGTAAACAGCCAGACGCCATGGAAAACTTGGTCCATTTTAAAAAACAAAGCTAATTGCGCTACTGGGGGTTCCTTTAAACTATTGAGCTGTGACGTAGATGTTTACTAATAACTCCCGAGCGGCGTGCAAGCCTCACATACTTTACAATTATTGCTCAGTGCAACGACGATTCCGCTGACACTTTAAACGCTGCCAGTGACAAGTAGACTTTATATTTAGCCACGATTTCATTCAGCTGGCGGCAAATGAATTGCTTGGCTATCTTGAAGCGAAGTGCTATAACCTAATGAAATGCAAATCAAAATCGTCTCTGAATTAGCATAGGCAAATCCTAAAGCGAGATGAAATGAATTTGAAGAAAAATTGCGGCAATCAATTTGATTGGTTTATGTGTCTGCATCCCCAGATCCGCGTGCAACGCGCTTCCCGCTGATGGAGCACCCGATGTTCACCTTCGGCATGGTGGCCGTCTACCTGTCCTGGGTCCTGCTCATAGGACCTCTGTTCATGCGCGACCGCAAGCCCTTCCAGCTGCGCCGCACCCTGGTCATCTACAACGCCTTCCAGGTGGCCCTCAGTGGCTACATGTTCTACGAGGTAAGTGTGGGGCTAAACTTAGCATAACGATCTTCTCGCTAATGACGTTCCCTTTCCGGTTTCCCCCGAACAGCACCTGATGGCCGGCTGGCTGAACTACTACAATCTGAAGTGCCAACCGGTCGACTACTCGGATAGTCCCAGCTCGAAGCGGGTAAGTTGTCCCGACCGGTCATTCTGATTCTAATTTAAACCGCTGACCGATCGAAACTCGCTCATCCCCCTTTCGAATATGAATATCTATTTCGAGAGGCACGCGTGGACTTAAGGAGTTTATGGTCTCCATTATATAATTTGGCATTTGTCATTTGGCCGGCTGGTTTCTTTGTTTTCCTTCGCTTCACCTTGCCGGGTTCATCTTCCGCTGTTGGCCAGCAAGTTCGTTGCCTCTATTTTTAGTGCCTCTATTTTGCGGTGACTCATTGAGTTCGGTCGGCAGACTCGAGAGCAATTTAGTTGGCCCGTAAAGTTCAGCTCAAAGCCACTTTTCGGCCAGTCATAGTCGCGAAACGAAAAACACTACAAATGTTTCATTACGTCTCTGCGACGGAACAAAGTTCACGTTTTAGTGAACTGACCGGGCAATTAAGTGGTCGGAGCGGAGCAGGCTTCTTAATCCAAATTCTGCGTCTAATGGCTTTTGGCCAGCCATTAGTTACGCCTCTTCATCGATTGTGTTCCCCTTCCCTTCGACTGCCCAGCATGCTGGAAAACAATTAAGCAAACAATTGAGTAATGCGAATCTGAAGTTAAATGCATAATTTTATGCCAATTTGTTCGCGCACCGCAAATGAGCCATTTAAATGTTCGGAAAAATGTAACAAGAAAGGGAAGCGAATGTACACTGCTCACTGAACAATATAAAGGGGAAATTGAATAACTTTTTTAACTCAGAAAACAAATATACTTTTTTATATAAAACCTTCTTATTTTGTATTGAAATTTCCACTATGTTGTGCCAATCAAAATCAATAAACAACCCAGAGACTCTATAAAAGAGTGTGGGCATTGCAATCACTTAAAGCCTCCAGTATTACCCCTAGAAAAATATTCGAGAGTGCCACACCCTCAAGGCCGCTGACTATTGCCTATGTTACAATCAAATTAACATTTAAAGCGGGTCTAAACAGTTCAGTTTGTTCCGCCGACTGTTTGCAATTGGAATAGTACCTTAACTCTGTTTGATTTTCAAATCAACAGAGCATAAATTCTGTGAAAACCGCTGACCAGACAAGACCTTTTCGAATCGCATTCATTCATTGATCGATTTCACATCCGCAACAAAGCCGAAAAGTCAAAAAGACAAGCCCAATAGCCCAAGAGACAAGTCAATAAACTCCGATGGACCCTAGTGTCATTAGCGTCCGTCATCCAGTTTTATGGTCATTTCCATAAGTCCACGGCGCCTCAGCGAAGTCGTAAAAGTCGTCGTTGTTTACATTGCGCATACGCCGCGTGCGCCAGAGTCGGCCAAACATCTCACTTGCAACCAGCAGAACTCTGGTTGCTCGTTCGGTCGATGAAAACAAAAGTGCTGGGGAATTCCGGCGAGAGGAGAAACAACGCGAAACGAATCCAAACGAATCGCCGCGGAACGAAGACTTTGTCAATGTCATTACGCAAGTTCTTCTGCTGCAGTTTCTACGCTAATTGGCCACGTTGCTCGGCGGTGGGCGCGAATTGCACAACGACCTTGCCAGGTCAACCGCACTCTCAAAACCCCCTCACCCCCTCTTTCTTCTCTGTCCTGCAGATGCTCAACCTGTGCTACCTGTACTACCTGTCCAAGCTGACCGAGTTCGCCGACACCATCTTCTTCGTGCTGCGCAAGAAGTCCTCGCAGATCACCTGGCTGCACGTCTACCACCACTCGGTGACGCCTCTGGAGACCTGGGTGCTGGTCAAGTTCCTGGCAGGTGAGTGTACAAAAGATTATGAAATAAGAAAAATATAAATTCGATCCGACAATTCAATATCTAATTTACAAAGTAATTGAATGCATTAATTTGGGAATAACCGAAGTTATTTCGACTAACCTAATATTTTGTAAATTTAAAAGATAATCTATATAAAAATTGTAAAGCAAAGTTCTTGCATCACAATAACCATAGGGATACGGGATCGTAAAATTACTATCCGCATAATCTCGGATCTTACAATACCCTTTTATTACCCCTCGCAGGTGGAAACGCCACATTCCCGAATCTGCTGAACAACTTCGTGCACGTGTGCATGTACTTCTACTACATGATGGCCGCCATGGGACCGGAGTACGCCAAGTTCCTGTGGTGGAAGAAATACATGACCGAGCTGCAGATCGTAAGTGTTATTATATTAGCCCATTACATTAGGCGGAATCGGTGCGGTTCGAGTGCAGATACGCCCGAAAGTCAAACGAAACTTGTTCGAAATCGGCGCAGGCATGTGTGAAATGTATTTTTTGGACATAGATAGAAGTTAGTTAGTCGCTGCTGGCCAATGCTGGCAATTGCCAGCTCGATCTGGCCAAGAAGCCGCCAAAATCTAAATGCAAACCAGTTAGACCGGCAGTCGTGCCTCAGACTGAGTTGGCCAGCCTCTGCCACATAAATTGGCATTATTCATTGGGCCCAAAGGCACGCTCACCAGCGCACATCCACCCCGGAGACCAGTTGCTATCCGTGTTCATATTGCCAAAATAAAATGTTGGCCAATGCTTCTAACTGTGTCTTGCATTTGCCATAATGCCATAAGACTAAAATGCCGAAACCCGCTGCCGAAAGCCACTTCGCATCTGAGATTCGGCCTCCGCTTGTTTGTTTGTCTTTAGTTTAGCTTAAGATTCGGCCAAACTGCTGGGGCCAAAGGCCAATCTCTGGGGCATCGATCACACATTCTGGGAGATTGGCCAACATCGAGATCGGAAAGCAAGAGTGAAGCGAATCCGAAATGAATCCAGAGATTGTCGCCAAACGTGTGGTCTAGATATCTCGGCTGGTTTCTGGTTTTTCTCATCTGACTTCTTGTGCTGCCGACTTGGAATTCTATTAGATTGGCTCCACGCGAACGGTTCTGGCTGGCCAGCCTTTAATGTGGACACGCATAATTGAAAGAGCCGATTAACACAAAAGCACAAAAGTTCCATTGCATTTCGGCCATTCGGTTTTTTCTGTCTTTCTGGTTTCCAATGTTTCGAAATTCTCGAAACGCATGAAAATATGGCAAGTTTAGTTTGTTCTGCTGCGGCTGGCCTCCTTCGAATCGAGATTCAATGCTGTAGTTGTTATTGTCGTAGCTGCTAGCTGCTAGTTAGTGAATCGCCTTGAAGCGCTGCTCCACAGTTGAGTTGTCAAACGTTCGGTGACTAACTTAAGTAGCAAGCACAGGTTTTTCTGTGCAAACAGTCGTGCAGGAGACACGCAGTGGGGATTCCATAGGGGCAAACCTACACAATTCTAAGATAATTGCCAGAAACGAGGAAAACTGGATTTAACAATTTTCGTATTGCCAAGCTTGGTAAAAAATCTTTTCCGGCAAGAACAGCTAAGGAATTGCCAGTTTTTCCTATACCAAAGTATTTTCCATTTTAAAACAATACATTTATAAAACATTGTAGAAATGTAGTCCTTATAAAGAAGTGCTCACTGTGCCCGTTTTATGCACCTATAAAATATTGCGTATGTAAGCAATACCTATTTTGATTGCAGTTTTTATTGTAGTCGTACTGCCGTTTTCTTGATGTTTTTCCAATTGCTTTCGTTGGATTGTAAACAGAGAGAAAAATACTCAAATTTTTAATTTAATGTTAAACCTCTAAGTAATTAAGGATGCTAAAGCGAAATCTTCCTATGCAGAACCTCAAAACCTAAACTTGTTATTGTCTAAATAGTTCTTGTTAGGACAAATAATTTTTTGCTGTGCATCTACAAAAGCTGCGTTGCAGTGACATTTTTAATGAGTAGGCGAGCGCATCTTTTGGGTAATTTACCTGTCATGCGAGTTGCTGCGATTCTGGGCAGCCAACTTGGAGTGTTGGCAACTGGCTGCGCAACCAGTGGATTCCTTCAGTTCCGTTCCCATCGGCCAATTAGCCACAAATTGCCTGACCATATATCGCACGCTCCACATTGTAGCCGAGAGCCAGTCCCAAGTTGAAGTTAAGTTCCGATTTGCCGATTCGCCGATTGTTGTAAGCAACATTTCGGCTGGCTGGCCGCGATTTGTTGCAACATCCCCGCAACTCGCCGGGGTAGGCCAATTCGCAGTCAATTCGAATCCAAGCAAGAGTTTCCACATTTGCGGCACCGAGCGAGCAAACCAACAAAGTAACAACAAGTAACCAAGCAGACCATACAAACCATACAAACCAACCAAAATAACCAAGCCGACCGATCTGACCAGTTTCGATTACATTATCATTTCGTGCTCGTTCCGTTTTGCGGCAATGAATGTCGAGCGGCAGCGTTCACTTTTGTCCAGCACCGCGACGAACTTGCCACACCAACTGGGTGAGTGTCTATGTCGGCTATTGCCGTGCCGCCTTCTTGCCTCGTTGCCGTGTTGCCAAGATGCCGAGCTGCTTGTGGCCAAAACCCCCGGCTTCGGACCGACTCGTATGCGGCAGTCGATAGCGACCACTGGGCAGACTACTCAAGCAATTTGGCAGGCCGTCTCTGGGTAAAAGTCAACGAGCGATCTGCCACTTTCAATTGCCGGTTCAGATCAGTCATGTTGCAAGTGCAACCGCCTTTTGTTTTCGTTCGCCAGTTGCCGGCACACGCAGTCCAACGATCAATGATCTACGGCATGATTGCGCAATAATTGCTGTGATGGAACAGTGGGTCGATATGGTAGAAATGTTCTTACTTGATTTATATTCTTAATAAAAAATACAAAATTTAAATTTGATAATTATAATACCCCTTTTTAGCAACACTTCGGTAGGTCAATTCTATTAGCCAAAATAAAATATACTTAATTTATAGTATATAGGTATACAAGTTAATTTAGGAGTAATTGATTTTAAAGGTCAGTTCAGCTATAATCCAAAATATTTATGCCAAATACGTCGAATAATTAAAAACAGTTACTAAACGTCAAAAAAAGGGGCTTACCTAGATGGCCTTAGTTAATTCAGATGGCAATACTCATTTGGGCAAATTAAATTTATTTACGACCTTTTTTGCAAGCTACTGGTAAGAAATCAATAGCGATTCCTACAAGACAATGACTAACGAAGTATACACCTTTTTAATAGCTAACAAATTAGTTTTAAAAATTGGCTTAAACCAGAGTAAATGCAAGCCAACGATTTTCCGTTTCTCAAGAACTTGAATCACTTTCAAAATCTATTATTCAAAGAAAATCCGGCACGAACCACAAACAAGCTGCGAGGTCAAACCTCTTAGGAAAACGTGTTAAAATAATTTAGCATTTAATTACAAACAATTTATGGAAGACGCTTACTGCGGTTGAGCTAAGAGCTTAGCATGCATTATGTGTTGAAAAGAATAGTTTTGAAACTGCTTAACTAATGTAGGAGCAGTTTACACTCGATAATGGCGACGTTTATGTAAAGCCGTTTACCGAATCTGCCGGACTTCCCATAAGCCTCACCATAGGATTGCCCCATTTCCATCAATCATTCAAGAACCACAGTGCCCGTGTCTCGTGCAATGAAGCATTTAAGCGTCGACGTTGGCTTTCAACGGCTTTGCCGCAAGTCGCAAACTTGGCCAGCAGTTGCAGTTGCCGTCTTGGCCAACATTGCGCTGCAGTGGTAATGGAAACCTGCAGCGCTTGGCTGGCCAGCATAATATTTTGTAGGTCACCGAAAACTGCAAACTGCCGAGATTGCTGCACAGGGAAAAATGTTTTAAGTAATGACGGCCATAAAAGAAGCACAGGAGAAGGCTGGCTCTAAACACTTTTGCTTATGACTTAACGTTGGATAATATGAATTTTTACTATTTTTCATTTAGAAAATCGAATGTCATTTGACATTTGTTCAAGTGTTCTAATGGAAATAGTTCTTTACGCAATTTTACCATATTTGGCATTCCTTTGCATCGATTGGCTGTAGATCATCAAACGAAACTAGAACTTCAAACAATCCAATAGAAATTCTTTGAATTCTCAGATTGACTAACTATCTTTGCATTAGCTCTTTAATCGCTTGGAAGTGGGTGGCATGTCTTCTGATCGATCAAGACCAGACACCAGAGGTAAACATGGGCTTTTTAACACGCGCCAAGGGGTCGCCAAAGGCCAATCAAGAGCCAGCTTGTTGGACTTGGCTAAACATAGCCACTAGCATTAGCATCGCGGCTAGTTTACGGCCGCATATCAGACACCCCGGCTAATTCCAATCAATGTGCGCACATCGTAGCCGCACTGAGTGCTTTTTGATTACCCGCCCAGCTCAAGGGTGCTCCACTGCTAGCCGTTTTATTAGCCGCATTCAAAGAGCTGTAACCGCGCTGCAAAAAAATGGAAAAAAAAAATGAAAAAAAAAAACGTTATGACTCGGCAGTAAGCGGCCCGGCTAATTGGATGACGTTACAACTTCCGTAACGAGACAAGCTCTGCCCTTCGACAGCGCCGATAACCAGAAAGAGGTGGGTCAAGTTGAGCTCTGATTATGACCTGGTTGAAGGGGCGTCTGCTCTCTTCAGAACTTTCCCAGTATTCAAGCGTAACAGGTCTATTTGCCACACGGTTCCCACAGCCACCTAATGTGTATGATTAAGTGGAGCCACGCTTTAGATTGAAAGCACTGAGATAAAAATTACATAAGTGAGGCAAGCGCAAGGTAACATTTCGCACCGATAATTACTGCGTTCGTATCAAGTGGTGGGGTATTATTATCAAATTGGTCAGGATAAGATACCTAATCAAGAATAAGTTAATAATAATCGTTCTAAGCTTGAAAATGAATTTACTTCACCGATGTTCAATTGAAGCAGTTGAAATATTTAATAACATTTATTATTTAATTATATTTAAATTACACTTTTGTTTTGTTTAGGCCCAGTTCGTGCTGTGCATCTTCCACACCGTCCGCGCACTCTTCAGCAACCAGTGCCAGTTCTCGAAGTTCATCTCGGCCCTGCTCCTGCTGAACGCCTCCATTTTCTTCTGCCTCTTCATGAACTTCTACATGCAGAGCTACAGGAAGACGAAGGCGGCGCAGCAGCAACTGCAGCAGCAAAAGCAGCAGCAACTGGACGCCGCGTCCTGCAAGGCGGACGGCAACAACAACATGGCGGCTGTCACGCACAAACTGAAAGCCAACTAAAACCAGTCGGATGTGGACGAAAAGTGCTTCCAGGATTGCCCGAAAGGGGGAACAAATTTTGTATAAACGGATCAGATTGGTGATGGCAACGGACGGAACGGAAGTAGTTTTGGTACAAAGGTTTCAACTAACGCTAAGCTAAGCTTAAGAGCCATAAATACACGAGCGTGCACACATATGCACGCACACAAACACACACGCACACACAGAGGAAGTCCGCCTGCCGACGATCGATCGATCGAACACGGGACCATGGGGCGTATGCGCAACTCCAGCTTGAATGCCCAGCAGCCCCTCGCCAGCTTCGCTTGATTGCTTCGCTTCGCATCTCATCGTCTGCGGCTGCACTCGCATCGCATGTGTAAAACCGTACAACAAACTGGGTCAATTTTCGAGATCTGCCTAATGTGTAAGTCGCCTAATTCTAGAACCTCACGAACGAAGCGCGTTTAGTTATAATTCCCCTAGGCTAAGTGATTATTGTAATTGTGTATAGACGATTTGTAAATAGCCTGTTAAATGTTAATGTTAAATATTTGTAGTCCTAAGCCAACTAGTCTAACTTACAACATTCGCACGAACAAATACGGCGAACACGAAATTAAAAGCGAAGACAAATAAACGAAGAAAAGATAAATACATTAAAAAACCAACCAAGTGAGTTTCTATTTGTTCTGTCTTCTAAAAATTGGCAGGGTCATCGTTGCGGAAGAGATTACCAAATCTTGAGAACACTCAATCGAAAATCGGATCGAAATCAGACACACCGGAATTAAAGATTAGGCGATCATAAGATATTCTTAACTAAAGAAGCTTTTACTATTAGCTTTGAGGAAACGATTGGAGTATAGTTGTTATAGTAACTAAATGGAGTATTTTCATATAAAACCTAATATTTCCAGTTTGTAATAAATTTACTATATCGTTATTTAACAAATTATAAAATTAAAGTAACCTTTACGTTTCATCAAGGTTTAAACACAATTTTACATATTTTTAAATTCGATCACCATTTTTTTTTCGACAATATGGCAGCGCTGCCCGACTTTTATTTAGCTGGTATTTTAGGGACGTAATCAACAGTCCCAGCACGGTCACACTTAAACAGCTTAGACTTGACAAACAAAAAGAATTGTAGTTTTTTTTACCGCTAACTACGACTTATTAGAATCCCACAGACAGCATGGAGCAAATGGAAGTGGATGTGGACCTGTCGGCTAAGCCGAGCACCTCGTCCTCTTCCAACGGGGCATGCAAACCACAGGATCCGGCTCCGGACAAGCAGGCGCAGCCCCAGGGAAACATAATGGCTGCAGTGGGCACCAGCGGATCGGTGACGATTTCGCTGCATCCACTGGTCATAATGAATATATCGGAGCACTGGACCCGATTCCGGGCGCAGCACGGCGAGCCGCGGCAAGTATACGGAGCTCTGATTGGCAAGCAGAAGGGCCGAAATATTGAGATTATGAACTCGTTCGAACTTAAGACGGATGTAATCGGTGATGAAACGGTCATCAACAAGGATTACTACAATAAGAAGGAACAGCAGTACAAGCAGGTGGGTTTCTAGGACATATAGCCATTCTTCTTCAGTGCATAAATCGTTATTTACCCAGGTATTCAGCGATCTCGACTTCATAGGGTGGTACACAACCGGCGAGAATCCCACTGCCGACGACATAAAGATCCAGAAACAAATTGCAGCTATCAACGAGTGTCCCATTATGCTGCAGCTGAATCCGCTCTCTCGCAGCGTTGACCATCTTCCGCTGAAGCTCTTCGAATCCCTAATCGATCTGGTGGATGGCGAGGCCACTATGCTGTTTGTGCCCCTTACCTACACATTGGCCACCGAGGAGGCGGAGCGTATTGGCGTGGATCACGTGGCCCGCATGACCTCAAACGAATCGGGCGAAAAGAGTGTGGTTGCCGAGCACCTGGTGGCCCAAGATAGCGCCATTAAAATGCTAAACACACGCATCAAGATCGTGCTGCAGTACATTCGCGATGTGGAGGCCGGAAAGCTGCGCGCAAACCAGGAGATTTTACGCGAGGCCTACGCACTCTGCCACCGGCTGCCCGTAATGCAGGTGCCCGCCTTTCAGGAGGAGTTTTACACGCAGTGCAACGACGTGGGATTGATTAGCTACCTGGGCACGCTGACCAAGGGCTGCAACGATATGCACCACTTTGTGAACAAGTTTAACATGCTGTACGACCGCCAGGGATCCACGCGCCGCCTGCGAAGCCTCTACTATTAATATGCAGCCTCAATAAAAGCCACTGAGATAAATGTACGATGGGTGAATGCGGTTTTATTTCTGCTGCCGAGAGGCAGGCTACATACGTATACGGGTGGCATCAAGCGATATCACTTTCTTCCTGAGCTTCCAGCTCCATTTGCTTCGTAAATTCAATTCAGATGCACAGACAACATTTCCTAGACACTTAAATAGGTAACTTCCCAGCGGAATTAGTGGTTGTAATCGTCCAACTTGAGATTGGCGGCATACTGCTGCAGGAACTCCACCTCCAGCGGATGCATTTCCTTGGCGGGAATGATGAGCGAGTGCAGCGGACCGCCCAGGTCGGTTGAGCGCATCTCAAGCAGCGTCCGCACGGCGATTTGCTGCGACTCCTGGCCCACACGGGCCAGACCGACGCACAGCGACTGCTCGTTGAGCACTGTGTTCTTTTCTAGCGAGTCCTTCTTCTCTACGATGGCCAGCAGCTGATGAGCAGCCTCGGCCACGCTCATGAAGCGTGGCGGCATGTACTCCTTGCGTTTCCGCATCAAGGACTCCGGCGTCGGCTCCTTCACCTTGATGTCCAGCAGGCACAGCGTATGCATGTTGTGCAGGCGGTTCAGCTTGATCTTGTCGTAGAAGCTGTCCGGCTTCCAGGTCTCGTCCCAATAGGGTATCGACACCGTCTCGCCGAATTTGTACAGTTGCAGGCCGCAGCAGCCCACTGCGTTCATTATCGAGGCGTTGTGTACAACCTTGTAGGGGATGTTCTTCTCCTTGGCGCGCAGTATAAAGTCTGTGTGGGTGGTGGCGCCAAAGGGATCGCCTACCACGAGCAGGGCCACGTCGGCCTCGCCTGCACCGGCCAAGATTTCATCCGCTCCCTGCTCCACCAAATCACGGTCGGCCAGTAGGAGGGGTCGCCCGTAGAACTCTTGCTGCGGGAATTACAGACGGAAAGGCGTGAGTTTTTTGCGAAGGCCATGGCCAGGTGTATATACCTACCATATCCTCAAGGCTGCAGCCCAAAATCGAGGTGTACATCTCCAGGTAAACACGACTGCACTGCTTCACTATCTCCAGACCCTTGACCGTGATGTCCTTGAGGTCGCCAAGGCCGAGACCGATTAGGTAGAACATGCTGGGCTACTGGTGCGACTGCTCGGCCACTGCAACTCCTGCCAAATGTTGTTAAAAGCGTTTTTTAAATGCAGTCAACACGTGCCGTAGGGCGTTGTGTGGCCGCCACCAGAGCGCCAAAAAATCCTTGCGTGGGGAAAGGTACTAGAAAAAACTTGAATTACCTGTTGTTGAGTTATTGCGTGTTTATTTACTTAAAGCTGACTTAAGGGGATTTTAATACATAATATCTTATGTTTGGGTATAAAAAGCGTAGAAGACCGCTGCGATAATTTAACCTGTGACAGCAGTATGAGAAAGTTATAAGCCCATAGTTCCTCAGTATGACCATAAGCTACCCATGGCAAGGCGGGAGTTCAAAATAACAAGGTCAATGTCAAACTAAATTACGAAAAAACTATTAAAAGAATAATTTGAATTTTGTAAAATACAAAAATAAAAACTTTTATTTGAAAAACGTTATTTTTTCATTACTTAACAGGCAAAATATTTGGTGTTCTTTTTTGTTCTCAGCTGTATGCTAAATTCTTGTTCTTAAAATCCTATGTTCATGCCTCACATACATACGTAATTTCAAAAAAACTTAAAATTTAACAAATTAATCAAATAACTTTTGTGACTCTGAATTTGTTAGCGTGGAGATCTTGTAGTTGCAAAGTTGGGTCCTGAAAAAAAGGTAAACTATTTAAATTAAATCACTTATGTGCGCTTTTGAACCTACGTGGTTGTGGCTCCGCGAACTACACAGTAAACAATGAACCGCTCAATCTGCAATTAATCAATATAAAAACAGTCTCCAGATAAAAGTATTTAAGCTTACCATCATTTCAAAGACTCCATATGCGGCAGTCTTTTCGAATGCCTTGCGCACTTGCAGGAAGAACTTGTGTATCTCGGCACATAGGTTGTCCTTCCAATCAGAACACTCTTCGCGAATGCGTCGGCAGTTGATAATCAGGCTGAAGGTGCGTATAAGCATAAACATATCCGCATGACGATCACTATCTGCCAACTCCTGCCAGTTGATCAATTTGGCCATTTCAAAAGCCTTTCGAGCCTTTGAAAGAGTGCAAATATATTTTTTATTTACTTATATAACTTCCTTTTTGCATCCTTTTGAGTGCTTAAAAAACCTACTATTTCCTTGTTATCCATTTGGACTGGTTGTCCGGTATACTTTCCCATTATAGTGAGTAGAAAAGCCACAGCAATATTGTTGCCAAGCGTACAGGACTGCACTAAAGCGGGAATGGCTGCCTGCACGTCCAGGACCCTTTCCAAGCGCTCCATTCCCACGCCAACTACTAAGTTGTCGTATAAGCCTAAAGCCATGAACTGAATCTGAGGAGTTGAAAGGTAAGCATATCAAACAAAAAAGCATTTAGAAAGGAATACTACCTCTTCTGAATCCAGAGAGTAGGCCAGATGACTGACCACATCTAATAGTATAAAACGCTCCTCCGTCAGCAGCAAAATGTCTTTTTGGTAGGTCATCATCATGATAGATAGAGTAAACAGATCCAGCAAATTCTCTAGACTTAGTACTAGCTTGCCCGATAGAGTTTTCACAAAACTATCAAGTAGCTAAATTTGATTATTTTAGTAATAATTACTTAATAAAACAGGATGTATGTTTACCCGCTTGGCGTCTGTGGTTTCATTTGCAAAGGGAAACATATTCTTGATCGACGACTTTACCAGAAAGCTCTTAATGTCGTCATGGTTGTAGCCTAAGCGCATTTCGTCCTCTTCCAGAAAGGAATTATTACAATCCATAGACACATGCATTGGTTATTGGCGGCAAAAATAAATACGCAAAACAAAAAGAAACAAAACAGAAACATCTAGAGTGACCAAGAGACTAAAATGCAGTAAGTCTCCTAAGAATTTACCGCTTCGTAGATATGCTGCCACACTGATTTTTTCTTGCTCCACGTGCGGCGATTTTGTAGATTTTGTATTTTTATTGCGTTTGTTCTTGATTTTAGTTGATAAACTTAATTCAAAATGCCACCTGTAAGAAAGCCCAAGCCGCAGAAAATCGAAAAACAGTCGACGCCCAAGAAAACCATTAATAAGGCCAAGGAGGTAGTTTCTGGACAGGTAAGACTACAAAAACAAATTGTTCTTTTAATTGATAACCGTAAACTGCTTCCATTTTAGCTGAAGAAAAAGGTGGCCAAGTCCAAGCCCCAAAAGGAAAAGCGTCCAGAACGCGGCGTTGTCGTAGTCAAGCATCTGCCCCATGGGTTCTTTGAGCATCAGCTGCGTCAATACTTTCGCCAATTTGGCCGGGTGCTCCGCGTGCGTTTGGCCAGATCCCTGCGCACTGGAAACAGCAAGGGCTACGCCTTTGTGGAGTTCGAGTATCCGGAGGTGGCCAAGGTGGCGGCCGACACCATGGACAACTACCTCATGTTCCAGAAGGTGGTTAAAGCCTCCTACATTCCGCCTGAGAAGCAGACCTTCAACTTCTTTAGGACCTCCGTAAAGAAGGTCGTAAACAAGGTAAGTCGGGTAGTATTCTCCAGTAATGCAAATCGAACCTAATCAAATCCTTTTAGGCTGGCAAGGAAATCTACGTCTCGGACGTGACCAAAGCCACCCAGCGAAGCGTTAAAAAACAGAACGATTGGGATGAGTCCGCCTGCCAAAAACGCACGGTGAACAATTTGAACAAGATCAAAAAGCTGCAGGAGAAGTACAAGGACTTGGGTATTGACTTCTCCGATTTAATGGTGGAGCCAGTCAAGAAAACTAAGAAAACGACAGAGGAAGAGACCACTGAGGCATCCACAAGCCAGGCGGCAACCAAGGCGGGAGGCAAAAAACAGAAACAGGCGGCAAAGAAGGAGCCCAAGCTGGAGGACCTGCTGGGCACCACCATCAACGAGGACTCCGACGATGAGGACTACGTAGATGCCTCCGATGATGATTCTGAGTTGGAGATTGAGGAAGAAGATGAAGACAGTGAGCCGACCAGCGATGACAGTGACGAGGAAGTCGAGTTGCCGTTGCCGCCTAAAAAGAAGAATAAGGTTAGCCTGTCAGACAAACTAAAGCGCAAGCCCGGCACTGGCGGTGTGCAGAAAAAGAAACTGGCTCCAGTTGTCAAGAACACTAAAAGTGCCGCCACCCAGAAGCTGCAGCTGGCCGCAGCCAAGTCGTTGGCCAAACCCCTGCCCAAGGGAAAGGCCAAGAAGTCAAAGAAGTAGCTTAAAATACCTTTACTATAGTTGTTAAGTAAGCGAAAACATTTTGTAAGATGAATTGTGTTAAAATATGTCCCTTTAAAAACTAGAGTTGTTCTTGCTAGGGCCTTGTTCCTCCAGCTTGATGCGCTTGCACTTCATGCGACGATTCTGGAACCAAACCTTCACTTGGCGTTCCGTTAAGTCCAGAGCCACTGCAATCTCGTAGCGGCGCAAGCGGGTTAGATAGTTAGAGTAGCAGAACTCTGTTTCCAGCTCCTTCAGCTGCGATTTGGTAAAGGCTGTGCGTTCCTTGCGATTCGAACTTGGTGTTCGGAGATTGGGCGTTTGCTTTGGTAGGTTCCCCCCAGCAGTTTCATCGTGTTGTAACCATTTATCGGTAGCTTCACTGCTCCAATCAGCCTCTTTTTTATTGTAATCCATGTAGCCAGTAGTAGCATTTTGGCTTAATCCATAGCTGCAGTCTATGTATCCTTCGCTTTGATTAACCCAATATTTTGTGATGTCCTCATAGTAATAGGACTCGTAATCTGCGTTTGCGTGGGAGTTCTTCATTTCGGGTCTGTTGGCCACTACGGTTAAACTAATACTGAATTCTCAGACTTGGTGGAGTCGCTTTTAAAGAAGGCACCGAGTGTGCCAGTCCAATCTGTTTTTTCACTTAGCCGCAAATGATGTGCTGCTGATATGATAATTGTGCGCAACATCTGGACCGAGTATGAGTGGTTATGACACCCGCAGATCGGCTTGTTGTCTTTGCCTACGAACTGTTGTCACAACAATCCCGAATCCGAGCCCCCGTCGTCCGGTCAGAAACGGAAGTGGATGCAGGACAGCCAGACATTGCCATGAGTCAAGTGCTTTGTGCCACCAACGGCTATAAAATTTAAATAGACAACCGTCGGCAGGTCGTAAAACGAGGCGGAGATTTATCTGAAAGTCGCAATTGCACGCGTTTTTAAGATGATGCGGCGGATTACTCTTGGCTACTGGGCGAATCTCCCAGTCTAAAGTGGAGTCTTATATCATAATTTTATTGCGAATCAGTGCGTAATCCGGAAAAAAAATCGATTCGAATACAGGCTTTTAAAACTAGGTCGAAATTTGTGAGTGGTCGGTTCCTGACAGGGCTAAGCGCAAATTAGGGCGAAAAAATTGGGGTCAACTTTGGCAAGCTATCCTAAACTTCGAAAAATCAGATATAAACAGGGGTAAAAAAATCGATCTTCACCAGATTGAAAAACCTAAACGAAATTTGATAAAGAATTCTCAAAAATATGTTTTGAGGCCAGTCACATTGTAAAAGAGTGCAAATTTGTTAAGCTATGGGCTCTGTAAGGTTAGTTTTGGGAAAAAATTTCGCACATGTTGGCATTTTGCTTTTTTAATATACATAATTTTTTATGGTGAGGGGTGAAATTTAAACTGTCCGCCTTTGCTGCACCTCAGTGTTGAACAATATGCGCATACATTGATGAGCGGGCACATCTCTTCAGTTTTTTTTTTGCTCATATCGGTATTTTTTAGCACCTTTTATTGGAGGTATTTTTAAGAACCTTCAATTGCCTAAAAATCGGCAGAAAGCCACGGTCATCGCGGGTCGCGCGTTTCGTTCGTTTTGTGCGAAATTAAAGCAATTAATCAGCGTACGAAGTGGACCTATAGTTGGACGCTTGTCGGCGATAGCTGGCACCCCAATTCGCCCCAAAATGTGCGACTAGAGTCCCCCGCGAACCGCGGCAGTGCCACCAAAACGGCGGCGAAACCAAACCGACGGAAAGAAAACGAGAAGAAGAAGGGAATATTAAACAAGTTTGCGTGGAACGAAAATTGCGTGAAAAGAAGAAAGAAGCGAGCAAATGCGAAAATGTTTAGTGTTTAAACAAATTCGGCAAGGAGTTTTTCGTTTTTAAAGCCGTCATCTGTGAGTGCGTGTGTGTGAGCTGTGAGTGAGTGTGTGTGCGTGTTGTGGAAATGAGAGTGTCTCAGTCTGAGTGCAAATGAAGTTGGCCAAGCCCAAAAAACGAGAAATTAATTAAAGCAACTAAGAAAAGTGTCGGTCGCAGAGGATTGAATTCACCCAGGGCCAGGGGTCATTAAAACCGATCGGGGCAGGACGAATAAGGACCCAGCAGAATGAGCGAGGAGCTAAAAGTGGTGCTGCGGCGCAGCGAGCAGCATTCCGGTTTCGGATTTTCGCTGCTTGGAACCACCGGACCGCCACATGTCATCTACGACATCGTCGAGAACTCGCCGGCAGCCGATTGCGGAGCGGTGAGTACAACTGCAGGCTCCTTTATCCTGTCTCCTTTGTGCTGTGTGTCATTCCCGTCTGGGACAGGAGTCGCCATATGTATGTAAATACATACCTAAACAAAACGATCAATGAGATTAAATTATACGTCTTATTTAACTTCCTTTAGATTATCCGAAAATTTTTGTAGTTTCTTTGAGTTCCTTAGAATTCCTACAAATTTGTGGAATGTGTTGCATTTCACTTGAACTTTTTTTACATTTTGTCGAATTAGTTTCCTTTTATTACTTTTTCATAATAATAGTGTAGTTATACGAAAATTATCATAAATCAATATCATAATTATCATATTGATTTAGAACATAGTAACAGTAACAGTACAATTTTTAATAATAAAGAGTCATATTGGAACTATTGAGTTCATAAAATTTGGCTTTCAAGTGCGGATGACAAAAATGTTGTATTTTTTATCTTACTTAAAGAGTACACTACATATTTATGTACAAAGATAAGTTATATTTTGGTATCGTAGTTCGAGTTTTAGAAGTTTGACTGTATGCAAAACGACCCGCCCCTCGTCTGTTGATAAGAATATTTTCCACTTTTCCACTTTTTTTATGGTGATGACCATGGCTGTGTAGCTGTCTGGCGTATGTGAAAGCATTTCAATTTGCACTGCCACAAAAAGCGAAATGAGAGTCCTCCGTTGGCGTGTCATCATTGTTTGCCGGCCGTGATGTCATCGTTGTTTAATTGATGGGAGAAGGGGATAACTGTGGGCGGGGAAAACACACAAAAGACACTGTATCAATTTTCTGGCCGGTTTTGCTTTTATTTACTATTTACTGTCATCGCATCGCATCTCAGATGTTTAGAGCCGAGTGCAAAAGACAACAAAAGCAAGTAAATACCGCGGACAAAGTAAGACAAATATTTTTAAAATGATATTCCAATGTATTTGCTTTTCAATTGTTTCTTTTTTTTTTTACCGCGTAAAGATCAATTTATTATCAATTCAATGGAAATACCCTTGAAATGCTGCTTTCGATATAACACCTCTGCAGGCAATACTTTTTGAGAACTGAAATATCTCAAGAAAATATCAATATAAAGAAGTTATTTATCTCGTTTTAAACTTTTAATTAGGTGATGCTAGAAATTCTTTTCAAAAATGTCTCCCCCGCAGTAATCTTATCTAATCTCAGTATATTAGTCAACACTTTTTTTAAAAATAGTACATTTTCGTAGCTATTACCAACTCAGATTTCTGGGAAACTGTTTGCTGAACTCACCCAGCGAATATTGAATAGGAATGGGCTACACATACGTGGGGCCAATTTCAATTATTATTTATTTCCCGGTGCAACTCTAATTCAAAAGAAATGCAAAGCAAAGTTAACGAATCGACAAAATGCAAATGCAGCGCTATAAAAAGCCATGCAAAGACAACATTTTAAAAATAAACTTACTCATGCCGATGCAAACACACAGACGGACTCAGACACACTTTGTAATTATCAGACGTGGCAACAAAAAACGACTTGCACGAAAACCCAAACAGAATTCTCCGGCTTTGGTTTTTAAATTTATGCGCTCGACCACCGAAAACACCGAAAACTTTGACTCGAACAAACAACAAACGAAATGCGTGAAAGCAGAGTGCAAAAAACGCGTTGGGAATTTTAAATTGTTGAAATTATTAAGTAATTCCACACAGTCGGGTATGACGAAAAGCCACTCAAATGCACCGGGGTAATTGTCTTCAGGCAACGAACTGACATGGACATATATACATAGATACAAATATATATTTATATACAGATGCAGCGGCACGCACTTTTTCAATTTCTTATCGCTTTCGCTTACAACTTGTTGTTATTTTTGTTACCCGTCTTGTTTTGTGGTCGTTTGACTTGTCTTCTATCTATCTATCTCACACTCCTTATAAAGTGGGTGTGCAAGTGTCACTTGGCACTCCGGTTACCCAAAAACTTTTTATTAAAACGCTCCTCAGGTTGCTTGATAAATTATTTGACTCGGTTGCCAAGCGCATTTAATAATTTTTTTTTATTATAAGAAAGTATTAAGAGATAACATTAAATGTTTTTGGTGCTTAACCGACAACATTTACAAACTGTTCAGTTACAGCACAACTTGTAAACTTTAAAGAATTTTAAATTATGAAGTTTACAACCTCTTCCAATCTGAAAACCTAATGAGTAACCAACACGTCGGCCCCTCGGGTGCAATTAATTTTACTTTTTATATGCCGTCATTCTGGTTGCGGTACAATTTTATTTTTCAATGAATGCACAAACATACACACTCTCAACTGGGTGTGTACAAAGTGTATGTACATGTGTTTGTCCACGACGTCGTCGCTTGTCTCTTGTCCCCTTCGCTTTTCCATTTTCCATTTCCACTTCCAGTTTCTTCGCTTTTCTTCTGTTCGCTGCAGTTGCTCTCTGTTTGTTGTTGTTTGCCATGCATTTGCCTCGCGTTTGTTTATTTTCCTTCTTCTCCAACTTGATGTATACTCCACACTCGCGCAATGACAAAAGTCTGTGCGTTTGGAGTGACTAAGTGGCAAATTGTGCATTAATTGCGGAAGGCGAGTAAAGTACTCATACTTCATTCTAATTCGATTCAGAAGGCCTTTCTAAAAAGCAAACATTTTAAAGGGTATAAAAAGCATGTTTGTTTGAATAGTTTGGAAAGTGGTTTTTATATTCGTATTGCTCATAAATTTTGTAGGGACAACTAGACCTACATATGTAGGTTCAAACCCCACACTTACCTCACATGATCAACTATCAAATACACAACTTTGTTGTTTATGTTTAGAAATTATTTGTGTTTTTTAAGTCATTAATCTTTTGGGGTGCCAAGTAACTTGCTCTTTCCTCGCCCCTCAAAAAGCATTAATTCTCAGCTGTTCGAGGAAAGGAATTTAATATGCGCGTTTTTTAGGGCAAACAAAAAATCGGAAACAGGCAAAAAATAAATTAAAACCTTAAAACATCAGATGTGTATGCCTCGCCAGACATTTTCGCCGTCATTTGCGCCTCCTTCGAAACTCGTAGCTTCTTTTGTTCTCACTGGCGTTGTTGCAAAATTCTAACGTTATGCTTAATTACTCGTTAACTGGAAATGACAAACGACTTTTTGCTGTTGCCGCTTTTGTTGTCTTTGTGGCCATTGTTGCTGCTGTTGTTGTTGCTTTTGCCAGTTGCGTGGCTCCGCCCGCTGCTAGTAACAAATTAATTGCCACCGACAAGTCGCAGACAGCAAAAAGAACGAAAAAAATAATAGAAAAGAAGCTCTGGCTCTTAGCTATTTATTGATTTTCCCCTTTTTTAAAGGCAATGTTTGCTTTTACGATCCCGATCAGCGTTCTTTCTTTTTCTTTGGCAAATTGTTGGCAATGACAGTTGACGCGTTCAAGAAGCCCCCACAACAACAAGAAAACAAAGTCGAGCAGGTCGGCAAACTTCAAGCTCTGAAAAGCACAATCCAACAACAAGCATTCACTCAATTACAATTGCAAGATAGAAGTAAATGTCAAGAGATTGGGATACCGTCGTATCTTCTGCATTCATGCCCTCTCAGAGGATAGACTTAGTTTTACCATAAATTGACAGCATCTGTCTTGAAAGTATCTGAAGGAAACACCTTAAATATTTATCGGATATATCTATGTACATGGCTAATGTTTCTGCTGTCATTCTTAGCTTTCCACTGTCATTTATTTTTGTACGAATAGTTGAATTAGTTTCTATGAAATTCATCTTTAAAATACCTCAATATCTTAACCATCTTAACTTATAGGGAATTCAAATGGCAGCAATTTGAAATCGGATCTTTCTGTACAAGAAATTTCCCCCTCTCGTTCGGTTAACTGGGAGTCAAAAGTGCAAAAAAGTAGAGTAAACTCGCTTTAATTGAATTACAAAAGTAGAAAAATTGCGCACGCGTTTATTAAGTTGGTTTTCTTGGTGCTTTTTGCTTTCTGCTTGATGGCAGGCAGTCAGGCCCAGCCCAACTAAATTTAGCCCGGCTCAGCGCGGTTCCATTCGACCCGGCTTTTCTTGAGTCTGAGCTTTGGGGGTGGAACCTCTCCCGCTGCTCGGAGGAAGAAGTGGAGTGGACATGGAGGGGGCATGGAGATGGGGGCCTGAGGTGTACGAGTACTCTGTGTGCGCTCCACCGCTGCGGTTCGTTGCACGCCACGGCACAGCGAACAGCAACAACTACAACACTCAAAGAAATAATAAGAACAATAAGTGCATAAGGCACTCGAGCTAGCCAACGCTGTAGAGATGCCAAAAATGCATTCAGCTATCGAGGCTAATATGCACTTCAATATCTTAAATCTTCACTTAACTTTGATTCATTTTGATTATTTGAGTATTCCCCAAAAAAATTAATAGCACATACATTTTACTATTTTTTGCAAAAAAAAAATTACAAAACTAAATGGAAAACAAACTAATGATACAGCTTTTAAATATTGCCACTCATAATTGGGATATAAATTCACAAAGTTATGGATTTAGAAATGCTGGGATGTGGTCACTTTTCTGAAAGTCAGTTTTTCCTATTTTCATCATCAAAAATTACAAAATATCGAACAAAAAATGCAAAATAAACTAATTATGCAGCTTGTTAGAAACATTAATTACAAATTCATCTAGGTCTACCCTACCACTCATAAATCAGATAAAAATAAGCAAAATAATGGGGTTAGAAGTGCTGGGATCTTTAACCTTTAATTATTTAATTTTTTATCACCCAGTTCTTTCTGGGATGTCCCCATTATCTAGAAATTTAGAGATCATTTACTTATGTTTTTTATTATATTTTTTAACCCGATTCCACCTGAGTCACATTATAGTTCGAGCTAAATTCTTAATGTAAAGCTGACTTGTAAAATAAATGGCTTGCATTTGTATTTCCCATTCGGAATAAAAACCCGCCAGTTGGCCAGCACTTTCTTACTGCCTGACTCAGATCCATGCAA